TTGTTCATTCTTATATCTCAGCACTGAGAACAGTGCGTGGGACATGGTAGGGGCACAACAAAGTTTTATGGAATAAACAGAATTCTGTTCTTTTGCCACATTATGTGGTTCTGTTATGTATCTGTGGCTACTGTGGGGCTGAAGATTAGCCTTGTAGAGTGTGACCTACTCTTACAAGGCTAAATCCATCCAAATATCTGTAGGAAAACGCACATCCCATGGGAGAGAGCAACAGAAGGATCCCAGTTTGGGCTGGTTGGGAAATGGAAGTCAAAGTTTAGGACTGGAAGAGGATACAGAACAGGGGACAGAGCTCAACGAAAGAAATCTGGTTAAAAGGCAGCTTCAGGTATAAATTCCAGATCCTGAAATTGGACTTTCCCAGACTCAGCTTTGACACAAACTTGTGGTGTGGCCTTAGATCCTTCCTTGCTCTGCTCTGAGCTTCAAACACCACATCTATGAGTAAGGAAGCTGGAGGTCGCTTCACACCATTCCACTGACTAGTCTCTGAAAGGGGAGAACTAAGAGAGTGCATGCTTTCCTAATTATACATAATATGGGGCTGTAGTGTGGTTGTCCTCAGCCTTACTGAACTCAGAAATGAAGTCAATAAAGTGTACCTTTGAGGGTCAGTATTAACAGTCAGAGGCCAGGTATGTAGAGTTGTCTGAGAGGGGAACAACTAACACCCAGGCCTACGTGAGGGTGCAGGATGGGAGGAGGGTGAGGATTGGAAAACTACCTACTGGGTACTATGCTTATTATGTGAGCAACAAAATAATTACACCAAACCCCTGTGACATGCAATTTGCCTACACAAAACCCCTGTACGTGTACCCCTGAACCTAAAATTTTTTTTGTTTGGGGGTTTTTTTTTGAGATAGAGTCTTGCTCTGTCACCCAGGCTGGAGTGCAGTGGCAGAGTCTCTCTTTTTTTTTTAATGGCACAGTCTCAGCTCACTGCAACCTCAGCCTCCTGGGTTCAAGCAATTCTCCTGCCTCGGACTCCCAAGTACCTGGAACTATAGGCGTCTGATACCACACCTGGCTAATGTTTATATTTTTAGTACAGATGGGGTTTCACTATGTTGGCCAGGCTGGTCTCGAACTCCTGACCTCAGGTGATCCACCTGTCTCAGTCTCCCAAAGTTCTGGTATTACAGGCATGAGCCACAGCACCTACCCAAGAGTGTTTTTTTGTTTGTTTGTTTTGTTTTTGGTTTGTTTGTTTTTTTGACAGGGTGAAGGGTAACAAGACCACAACAGTCACCAGTTTCAACTTGTTAACATGTCTAAAGAAAAAAAAAATGCGTTGACTAGGGGAGGGCAGGGTGTTCTCTAACCTTGGAAAGAAGGAAAGGCCAGAGGCACCAGCTGGTTCTACCCTTCTCCATATGGTCTATAGGAAGGGCCTTTCCCCTCAGTGTCTCCCTCCCAGTGGAAGGCTGACTTCAGTGTGTGGATGAACACAGGTGCTGTAGCTAACAGGCTTTGAGGATTTTCAAGAATGTAAAGGCAATGGTTAAGAATCTAGACTCTCGCAGCTGGCTTCAAATCCAGACTCTGCCATTTACAAATTACACGACAGGGGCAACTTATTAAACCTGAATCTCTCCTCCTTCACCTGTAAAATGGGAATGACAGTAATAGTAAATATCATCAAGAATTACTGGGAGGATTTTATTAATACATGTAAAGCACTTAGAATGGGGCTGTAATTATGATTCCACTGGCAAAGCCATCTGTGGCTAATATACATGCCTTAGGCCTAATGATGTTAAATAATTGTCTCCTCTCATTCTGATGCAACTTTCAAAAAGCAACATACTCCTTCCCATGTAGGGTTGCTTACACAGAAAAAAAAAAAAATGTGCTTATCACAGAGATTCTGAGAAATTCTCATCCCAGAGCCTACAGTTTCTTATGGCAAATCGATATATTATCTGTGGTTGTGTCTGGGCCTCCCACATTGCTCGACCACAGAGGCAAGATGCAACATATGATGATGATGCAGGAGTTCTGGTCCAGGAGTAGATCTGTTTTCGGTTTTGATTTGTAAATCTTCACGCTGGCGCTCTGGTGCCTATCTCAACCTTACTGTATCTGGGTTTCAACACAGATACTCAGGCTCCAGCTTCACTGAAGAATGAGGCACGTGAGTCCTCAGCAAGGGGCCAGTCCCAGCTGCCTTTCCCTCCTGAGGGTAGATGGTGGTACCACCTGTATTAGCTCCTTGATGATTCTGTACATCACAATGGGCTGAAGAGTCCCTGAGGCTGCCTTCCCTGCTGGGGGCACCTTTGCATAAAAGAGTAAAGAGCTTTTGGAAGATGGGTGAGCTAAAAATAGAAGGAAAGTGGGGGCTACAAGCAAAAACATTAATCCAGGGCTCCCTCTCACCTGCAGACTCCACCTTCTCAAGAAAACGTCCAAATGTTTTCATTACATTCTGTGACCTGGCTGGGACTCCACTCTTTAGGGATTCATCTGAGCCTTTAAGTCTCCTGGATTAAAAGTGTGAGTCAGGGCTGACGCCTGTAATCCCAGCGCTTTAGGAGGCCAAGGTAGGTGGATCACCTGAGGTTGGGAGTTTGAGACCAGTCTGACCAACGTGGAGAAACCCTGTCTCTACTAAAAATACAAAATTAGCTGGGCATGGTGGTACATGCCTATAATCTCAATTCCTCCGGAGGCTGAGGCAAGAGAATCACTTGAACTCAGGAGGTGGAGGCTGCAAAGAGCCGAGATCACACCATTGTACTCCAGCCAGGGCAACAAGAGCAAACTCCATCTCCAAAAAAAAAAAAAAGTGCGAGTCATTCTAAAAGGGTTAGAGAACATTCAATGATGATACACATCAATGGGAATGTGACGTGTTCAATACGATTTATTTTCTCTCAACACCTTGCTGGGTTGGATTTACTTCAGGAATGAACAGAACTGTGTGTTTTGTTTTGTGTTGTGTTGTGTTTGGAGAGAGGGTAGAGAGCAGTGGGAAGGGGACGTAATTAAGAAGGATGAAACATCTTGAGTGGAACAAGAGACCTGTTTAGAGTTAGGGGAAAGCTTGAGAAGTTCACGAATAGAAGAAAGCGGGGTTGTTCAGGTGTGACATGGATTATGGGACATTTCTGGATTGGCCTGGGAAGGTAACCAACCATTTTAATATCGTTACCCTGGAAAAATGCAGCTTGAAATCCAAATAACTAACTTGCAAAGCAACTTTTGAATTACAACCCATTCCAACTGAATTCTTAAGTGGGTGATGGGGCGGGGGGCGGGGGGACTTCTTACATGGGAACTCAGGAAGAAAGAGATCCCCAGGCAGCATTTGGTGGGGCACTGGGAAATGAACAGAAAACAAAGGTAGGTCTGAGGCTTAGAACACAGAATGAGTTAGAGCTGTTAGAACATTTGTCCCTGGGGTCTGAGGCAGGCAGTGACCTGTTGAAAACCCCAGGCCAGCGGAGACACCTGTCCAGGGCCGGGTAGAAAACATTTCCCGCATTTAAGGACAGGAGGTTGAAGGTACTCGGGCTATGTTGACTCTTCATTCTGGAATCTTGGGACAGCGTATTCCCTTTTTAACTCTTGGAGAGCCCGGGGCCTTGGTCTGAGTTTAACTTCCTCCTGGGAACCCAGGTGGAAAGGAGAGACAGGTAAGAACTCCGCACAGGCGGCGAAGCCTGGGTGGAGGAAGCAGAGGGAGGAGACCTGAATCTAGTTACAAATGAGTTTTAAGACCCACGGGCAATTCTACGTACCGGCTTGGTTTGAAAGGGAAGGGGGCTCCGGAGGACCGAGTGAGGGCACCGAGGCGGGACGCACACACCCGGCCAAGGTGGGCTGCGGGCGCCCACGGAATCGGGGAGCTGGGAAGAAAGGGGGCTGCGGTGGGCTGGGAAGAAGCTGGGCTGGGAAGGCGCTCGGGAAGCTGTCCCCGCGACGGTCTTGCGCTCCGCGGACGGGGGCGGGAGGGCCGGCGGCGTGTGACCGCCGAGGCTGCGGCGGCTGGAACAGGTGTGCGGCCGCTGGGTGGTGGGTCCCCGCCCTTCGTCGCCAGCGCCTCCTCCCACGGACTCTCCCCGGCGCGGAGCTGCTCCGCGGCTCCCCTCGGTTTGGGGTTTTGCAACTGGCAGTTGGCTTCTTTCCCCTCCCCTGTCTCGGTCTCTCCTTCTTCTTTTAGGTTGCTCCACCCCGCCCAGGATCAGGCGAGAGGGAACCAGCCTGACTGCGGCTGCCAACTAGCGCCGAGTGCGTCTGCGAACTCCCAGAGCGGAGTCCCTCGTGCCGCCTCCTCCCCTCGGGGCGCTCTCTCCTAGCTCTCCCGGGCCCCCCGTCCTCCTCCCCGGCCACCCTTCCCTACTTTTCCCCCCTTTTGCAATCACATGGCATTTTAAGAATGCCGGAAAGATGGCGGTAGCGGCGGCGGCGGCGGCGGCAGCTGCTGGGCCGGCCGGCGGGGGAGGCGGCCGGGCGCAGCGGAGCGGGCTGCTGGAAGTTTTGGTGCGGGATCGCTGGCACAAAGTTCTAGTGAACTTAAGCGAGGACGCCCTGGTTCTGAGCAGCGAGGAGGGCGCTGCGGCGTACAACGGCATCGGGACCGCCACCAATGGCTCGTTCTGCAGGGGCGCCGGGGCTGGGCACCCGGGCGCGGGCGGCGCGCAACCCCCGGACTCGCCCGCCGGGGTCCGCACCGCCTTCACCGACCTGCCCGAGCAGGTGCCGGAGTCCATCTCGAACCAGAAGCGCGGTGTGAAGGTGCTGAAGCAGGAACTGGGCGGGCTGGGGATCAGCATCAAGGGGGGCAAGGAGAACAAGATGCCCATCCTCATCAGCAAGATCTTCAAGGGGCTAGCGGCGGACCAGACCCAAGCCCTGTACGTGGGCGACGCCATCCTGTCGGTGAACGGAGCCGACCTGCGGGACGCCACCCATGACGAGGCGGTGCAGGCGCTGAAGCGCGCGGGCAAGGAAGTGCTGCTGGAAGGTAAGGGGTTAACCGCGCGCCGGCCGCGCACTCACCTGCTCCACTCCCCACCCGCGGACTCACCCTCACCCTCACCCTCGGCCACGTGCCGACACACCCCAGGGGGCCGGGTGGGTGTTGGGGGGACGGCAGCATAGAGTTTTGTCAACTTTTACCCACCTGGGGGCAACTTGTCTCCAGCCCGTAGTCGTTACAGGCTTTAACCCCGGAAGGGTGTATGGAAAAGCGAGGACAGCAGGGTTTCCCAGCTGGGTTGCCTGCTTGGTATACGTTTTTTCATTTTTATCTGCGGATAATCCTGGTAGAGTGTAGGGACTGGAGTATGAAATCGAGAATAAAGGGTGGACTTAGAATATTCCTACACCCAACGTTGCCAAGCGGAGCTACTGTGTAATTGCAACTCATAGTTTCTCCTTTGGCAAAATTTCCCACTCCAAAGCCTGGGTAACTCAGCAGAAGAGGGTTGACTCATAAAGGGGCACGAGAGAGGTGGCAATAATGTGAATGCTAAAACTCCAACCATCCTTCTGAACGTCTCCCCTGCAAATGGGAGACTAAGGTTCTGCCTGGAGAATTGTGTCACTTGGGGGGAAATTCACTTTCCCTGCCGGGCATCTGGCCGGTCAGCCTGGATTCCAGGTTCTTCTGGGTGAAGAGCTGGTGAAGCGGTTTTTCTGGCTGCATTTTCCGGAGCCGTTTCTGAGTGGTGTGGAAACAACTTTGCCTTTGTAAATAGTTTCCCCACCGTGTGAGGAGCCTAGAAACTCTCTTTTGAGATCTGATGTCCCCAATCCCCTAATGATTGAATATGAGTAGAATAGGAACCTCCGTTTTGCACTCTTCGGGGCTGTGTGGAGTTACGTAGGGGAGAAGAGCATTCGGTAGTAAACTGAATTCAGTCTGGCTACAGCTGCATTCTCACTTGTTTCTCTTCAGTGCTTTGTGCATACCTCTGTCAGCACTAATTATGTGCAATTATTTTATCTATTTTCTCAGCCTAGCCTAACTATAGATGGAGGTGTCTGGGCTCTTCTATTTAGTTGTGGGTCTCTCTTGAGCTTAGTTGCTGCATGACAAGCATGCTGAGCCAATGAATACATAAACCCATAGGTATTGAAACAGACGATTTCAGATGAGACCTTGTCATATGGTGATTGATTTAAGCCCTAAACTAAGGACGTAAGTCAATTTCCTGCTTACCTAGTTGTGGCCCTGCTGTGTGAAACTGATGAAGTTTAAAGTAAGGGAGCCAGCATTGCTAGTGTGTGGCCGCTGATGCAACCCCCTGCTATGCCATAGCTCACCTCCTGGCCCACAATACAGAGACGCCCTCCCCCACCAACCTTGTTTGTCTAGAGGATTTGTGATGTCTTCAGAGTCAATTGCCACACCCTGGATCCAGAAAGTGGAAAGCTATTTGCTTTAGCTTGATGATTAACATAACGGAAAAAAAGTTTTCTTGACTCAAGTGTGTGTTGGTTTGTGTGACAACGGGCAGGTGGGACCTGGGGCAAGTGTTATTTGGACTATAAACTGTTGGGCACTTGCTCAACTTGCAATACTTAATGTAAATACCTAGGCAGGGGTTGGGGTGGGGAGGAAGGCAGGTCATTTTATTTTAGGCACCATCTTTTAATAGGTCCCTTCTTTTCTTCGTCTCCTTGCTTTCAGTTTAATGAATAATGTCTTGGCAAAGAGTTAAAAAATCTCTCTCACCCAAAAGGAGGAAGAAATTTATCTGCAACTGAAAATAAACTTAGAGAAAGAGACAAAAAATCAAGCAGTTTTGTGACTTTCTTAAAACAAAAACTGAAAAGTGAGTTTTGTAGAAACCTCTAACATGACATTCTTAGAATACTTTGTCATTTGTCACAGGCAAATTTGTCACAGACCCTCTGGAGAAACCCTTTGGGTCTTGTAGATATGAACCTTCTTGGCTCAGTGTAGCCGGCTTATCCTCAGCCCAAGTTTTTCAAAATCAACTGCTAATAAAAGAAGCAGAGGCCATGCTCAGAACAGTGTCTCTTATTCTGAGCCAAAGTGTCCATTCTCAATGCAATGGTAGTCATCGAATACCGTAAGTGAAATATCACAATCCTGTCTTTTGTAGCTTAGCCCAATAAAGGGATTCCCAGTTGAAGGAGCTTATTAAGACCACCTCAAGAGTTTTTAAAACACATACCTACTTCTTTGCATTCTGAAATGCAGTGTGGATTTCAGGGTTTCTATATAGGAGAGGCTTTGAAAATGTAATCTGGTTGCCTGAGAGGTCAAAGGGAGATGTTTTAAAGAAACGTTTATATAGCAAGTGCACCTTTTTAACCTAGATTCCTTTTTTGTTTATTGGGGGAGTAGATGGAGACTAGTATTCCAGCCATCACCCATTTGCACCCCACTGCATGACATGCGCCCCCTTGTGGAGAGTTACTACCTCTACCTGCGGTACACCCAGTAAGGAGAACCCCTGGAAAAGTTTCAATGCCTGCATTCCAGACATAGATTCCCCCACAGAATTAACATAACCTCCCTGAGCCTCAGTGTCTTCATCTGCAAGATGGGAATAAAGAAACCTGTTGGACTTGCTTACCTTACAGGGCTGCTGTATGGACGAACACCTTGAGAATGAAAGACGTGTATCAAAATCTGCTGCAAGTAGTTTTACAGTTCAAATGAAATGAACATGAAACTGTCTCTTCTCAAGTACCGCCCTATCTTCTTCCTTTACTGGAGTTTATATTTCTCATTTTTATAACACTTTCTTTTTGTACTATAGTGTAATGCTAGGAGACTATTCCTGTGGGACCACGGGAGTTTAATAGAATCTGGAGAAAGAGAATCATAGCAATAGCTAACATTTCTGGAGCACTTACTATGTGCCAGCCTTGCCTGTTACACTTAGAGTAACCCCCTGAGGCCAATACTGTTGTTATTGTTCATTTTACTGATGAGGAAATTAAAGTTTACAGATATTAAGGTTTTTTTGCCTAAAGTAACATGGTGTCCAGGCAAGGAGGCTCACACCTGTAATCCCAGCACTGTGGGAGGCTGAGTGGGCGAATCATGAGGTCAGTAGTTCAAAACCAGCCTGGCGAACATGATGAAACCCCATCTCTACTAAAAATACAAAAATTAGCCAGACATGGTGCCATGTGCCTGTAATCCCAGCTACTGGGGAGGCTGAGGCAGGAGAATCGCTTGAACCCAGAAAGTGGAAGATGCAGTGAGCGGAGGTTGTGCCACTGCACTCCAACCTGGGCAACAGAGCAAAACTCTGCCTTAAAAATGTGTTTTTTTTAATAAGAATAAATAATAAAATAACATAGGCAGGAAGATTCCAGATCTATCTGACATAAAAGCTTATACTTTTAACTTTTGGGCAATACTGATGCTATGAGCTTCCACTTGGAACTGTGTACTTGAACCAGTTGGAGTTACTGGGTTCAAAGCATTATTTATTTATTTATTTTTGAGGCGGAGTTTCGCTCTTGTTACCCAGGCTGGAGTGCAATGGCGTGATCTCGGCTCACCGCAACCTCCGCCTTCTGGGTTCAGGCAATTCTCCTGCCTCAGCCCCCTGAGTAGCTGGGATTACAGGCATGCGCCACCATGCCCAGCTAATTTTTTTTGTATTTTTAGTAGAGACGGGGTTTCACCATGTTGACCAGGATGGTCTCAATCTCTTGACCTTGTGATCCACCCGCCTCGGCCTCCCAAAGGGTTCAAGGCATTCTATCCCACTCCTCAGCTATGCTGAAGTGCTGGGGAAAACTTGGCAGGAAACAGCAATTGTGTGGTCCACTCAAAAGGGACGGAGAGCAAGGAGGAGTGAGTCTTTTTTTTTTTTTTTTGAGTCTTATAGAACTAATGCACCAAGTGTCTGCTGTCAAAATGAAGCTGCTGTGGCAAGGCCCATCCCTACCATGGTTAAACACATGGCCATCAAGGAGGCTAAATGTAATCCAAACTTACATAGTGAATAAACTTTGCCCGTTAAGCTGGTGTTTAGCCAGCATTCATTAAAGTTGAGATCAGAAATCTTCACACTGCAAGCTGATTTCTCATTTTTAGGAGTGGGAGCAGGGACTGCGCATTCAGCCATGCAGGTATTGAACCCCGTAAGTCCAGCAACAGCATTCACATAGACCATAGTGTCAATGGCATCCTCTGGAGCTGGGCACAGTGCACCCACACAAACATCCTTGGTGGCAGCTCCGGGTCAGGGGGTACAGAGGAGTTTTTTGTTATCAGATTAATAGTAAAAAAGTAATTTGAAATAGGTCAACTTTTTGTGACTGAAGCTACAGGGAAATTAATTTATCCATAACTTTGTTGAGATCAAGAAGTTCAGAATGTTCTGGAAAACTCATGTTGGAATGCAGAGGTGGGTGGACCCAATAATCCCATAATACAAAAGGTCTTCTATGGAACTGGTCTGGAAAAAGTGGAAACTCAAAGGAGAAAGTCAAGGACGGTTGTTGACATTAACCCTGTCCACTAGCGCTCCCCTTCAGCAATGCTCCCCTGGAATGTTTGCCTAAGACGGTCTGAAGCCTCACTGTCACCCTCACTTTCTCCAGTGGTGGAAGTGGGAATGAATGATTGAGCAGGAAGATGGGAGCAAGTGAGGGGCAGTGAATTTCTGGAATAAAATATCAGGACTGGAAGAAAATTTGAATTTTAAGAAATCTTATTTTATTTAGGATGTACAGATTTTTAAAGAATACCCAATACCCTGGGATTCGAGTCTTGAAACCTAGGTTTTTTATCTTCTACTAGTTTCACTTTTACAAGAAATTTCATCTTTTTAGGACTTTGTTTCCATTACTGCAAAGCATAGGGAGCTGGGTTAAGCCATCTCTAAACCTTATTCTGTCTTAAATCCTATAAATTCAGACGCAGTGCACATTACTAATAACAAAATTTTAACACCCCTTTTATTATTGTAAAGTTAGTCTCACAAATAACATAGCCTAACTCTGATTTAAGTTTAAACATCAATAGAATGTCCTACTGGTAATATAAAAAAGAAATAAAATAAATTGTTAAAAAAAAAACCACATTTCAATAGATAAATGCATGGACACAACTACACCAGAGGTCATAATGAAAGAGCTAGATGTTCACACCTTTATGTTAAGTCGCTACCAATGCACAGCTGCACATGAGGAGGAGTAGGGCTGTGTGGCATTATTTAGGAGCTAGACAAGGCTTTCACTGTGAAGGACTGCACCAGGTGTTCCAGGATGTCCAGGTTCCCCAGCTTCCTTCACTAAATGCCAGCAATGTGACACTCCTCCTGCACTTCATCCTTAAAAAGCCTTCATAAATTTCTGAACTGCCACTGGGGAGGGAGGTATGGACCCTCCACCTTCTCGAGAACAAGTGTTCTGTAAGAATGCTAATTCTACCTCATCACTTTATAGTGCCTAATCTTTTGCAAACTCTTTTTCCGAAGGTAATAATAGCTAACACATGCAAAACGTTGTGCCACATGCTGTTTTAAGCACTTTACACAGATTAACTCACTGGATTCCAATACTATTAGTATCCCTATTTAACAGACAAGAAAACTGAGGCAGAGACTTTAAGTCACTTGCCAAAAACCCACCGTGAATAACTGCTGAGTCTTTGATTCAAGCACAGGCCTGTAGCTGTTAATCCTCATAAATGGCCCTAGGAGATAAATAGATCAGGGATGTTTATCCCCAGTTTGTTGATCAGGAAATTGAAGCTCCAAATGTTGGAATGACTTGTCAGCATTGGTCCTCTATTTTCTTTTCTGGTGTACTAGTTTTCTACTGCTGCAATAACACATTTCTAGAAACCCTAGTAAATTAAAACAACACAGATTTATTACAGTTTTTAAAGTCAGAAGTCTGACATAGGTCTCACTGAACTAACATCATTAGCAAAGCTTTATTCCTTTCTGGATGTCTAGGGGAAAACGCCTTTAAAAAAAAAAAAATCTTTTCCAGAAGTCAGGTCCCTAGAGATCGCCCACACGCCTTGGTTATCGGTCCCATTCCATTTCTAAAGCTTGCGATGGCAGCCTAAATCCTTCTCACATCAAATTACTCCGGTCTCTTTTCTGCTTTCCTTTCATTTGTAAGGACCCTTGTGATTACTTTGGTCACTGACAAATACACCAAGATAACTCTCTATTTTAATGTCATCTTATTAGCAACCTTAATTCCGTCTTCAACCCTAATTCTCCTTTGTCATGTAAGGTAACATATTCACAGAATCTGGAGAAGACTAGGAGGTGGACATCTTTGGATAGGGGGATGGACATTTTTCTGCCTACCAAATCTAGTTTGCTGAAGTTGTAATGATAAAAAATATTCTGGGTTAGATGATGAACCTCACCTTTATAGATAATCACTCCCTCTCTCATTGCAAGGGTTTCTCATTAATTTACATATTTCTCTTTTAACAAGTAATTTATTGTCATTTATGTACTATACACTACCAGGACATTGCCTTCTAGAAGCAACATTCTATTGACAGATACAGATGAGTGCCATGCAGATACCTACAGGAGGGAGGAAAAATGGCCATATTACGGATATTATGAGATGCTGTGGTAGCCCGTGGGAAGGGTATCTGGTCCGTTCTTAGACAGGGCAGTATAGAAGGCAAATGTTTTCAGGCAGTCCAAAAAAGAGGTTGGGCCTCAGCTGTAGCTCAGTGTGGTTAAGAGGGCAGAATGTGATCTTAAGACTTTGCTGAGAGGCAAGAGTGGGGGAAAAAAAAGTGGAGAATTGAGGACCAAGCCTTGTGGAGCTTATTACAGAATTGGATTTCAGTTTGAGGGTGAAATGTTTTAAGCAGGGAAATGTCATGCTTCGTTTTGCATTTACGAAAGATAACCCTCTAGAGTAACATGAGGTTGGTAAGGCTCCAGTAAAATGGAAGTGCCAGAGAGTGGGTGGCTTCCTGCTCTCTTCCTACTCTCCTTTCCAAACAGGAGCTGGAAATCAGATGATCTAACCCTTCATCAGGCCCATTCTGGTGTATACTTCACAAACTGAAGACACTGCGAGGTGGACACAAGGAAAGCAAAGAGGTATAAGGCATGGCTTCTGGTTTCAGGGAGGTTAAGTAATTGAGGAGGGAGGGCATTTGGGGCTGATGATGAAGTATTTGAGATGGTGATTAGTGATACAAGTTAGCATTTGGCATCGTGCCTGGCACACATTAGGCTGTTAAAATGTGTCAGAAAAAAAAAATGCTAAAGGGTAGATGAATGGATGAGTGGAAGGAAAGAGGAGGGAATAAAAGGAGGAAGAGAGGGAAGGAGGGAAGGAAGGAAAGGAAAGGGGAAGTGAGAAAAGAAGGAGGGAAGGGAGAGAAAGAATTGGAAGATTACTCCATCATCCCCCACTCATACTACAGGACTATGGTGGTAAACATTAGACATGGTATAATGACAGCTGTATCTTGCTCTGTAGAAGGGTAAAGAGTGACTTTGTAGACCTCAGAAACATTTAATGTAAGCCAGTGTTGAAAGATGGTTGACAAAAAAGGAGTCAGACATGATTTCAAAAGTTATAGAAAACGTAATTACCCTTTTAATGTTACACAGGTATTTATAACCACCTTACTTTTGACCCCCTGTGGCTCAGGGACCTAAATGTCTGAATATGTAAGAACACTTTCTACCTGAGGAGATGAAAACTGTCTGCTCAGATATTTTAATTGCTTCTTTTTTAAGTGTATGTAGCAGTGTGAGAATTCAGACTATTTTCCTTCCGTGAAGCTGATCAGAACAGCCCTTCCATTCCTTATTTCTGCTGTGGTTGGGTAATGCTCTTCATGTTCAGTGGTGCATTTTAGCAGTCACCCCATGGAGTGTGCATTAAAAATAACTCACTCCACATGGCTCCATATTTGTGAAAAGCATCTAGCTGAAGCTACCAGTGGTCTGTTTGCTGAAGGAAAATTATTCTGTGGTAGCTACTGGCCTACTAAGCGTTCCATTTCCAATGATGCTCTTCAAAGCTATTAATGTTTCCTAAAAGCCAGAAGTTCCCCTGCATTTATACCAAGTGTTTTATATACCAAACCTCATTACCCACTTCACTGGCCTTGACCTATAATGATGCTTGCCTCTAGCTCTGGCCTGCAGAGTTCAGACTTAAGACAAAAATGTATAATACCCACCACAAAATCAGTGCCCTAACAGACTTGTGCAAGTGAGCTCCATTCTCAAACTGGGATAGTCAAGATGATTCATAGTGATTATGATGGGAATTAAAATGTTTCATACTTTTTAGCTCAGTACTTTTTTAAAACATGACTCCTTCTACCTGTGGTTTGAAGCATCATTCTTTGCATGTTGGTAAGGGTGGAAAGATCTATCTAAACTGGTTGATGAGTATCACTGCATTTGACATATCCCGTTTATTTGCATTGCTGTTCAAACTGCCATTGTTTATTCCTGTCACAGTTATTTTCTTTTCTTTCTTTTTTTTTTTCTCAAAGCAGTTTAGTGCAGTGGTTTAGAGGATGGGCATTAGATTTACTCTGCCTGGGCTTAAATTCCTATTCTATCTCTTTCTAACTGTGTGCAAATTATTTAACCACAAGTCTCAATTTCTTAATAAGTGACTTTCCTCTTTGTGGGTTTGTTCTGAGGAATAAAGGGGTTATGTATGTGAAGCAGTTAACTCATTGTCCAGAATGTAGTAAGCACTAAATTACATCTCCTGCTTAGCTAAATATTATTTTTCAATAGGGTTCAATCTTATAAGTTATAGGGTTTAATCATGTTATATAAAGTCATTTGGGGGTACAAGGAACAGTTTGGGATTTGCCACGTAGGGAATGGACGGGTGTAAGGAATGACCAAGGCGAGGTTGTTTGCTTTGTTGGGGTAAGAGTTATGACTCCACACACGGGTATTTCGTTGATGATTTTTAAGCAGCATCAGATGTTTTCCATCAACCAGACCACAGTGTAGGCTGCTGTGGGTTTTGGTGGGCGAATATGAAATCCGTATTAAAATGCTGGTTGTGCAGAAACATGCAGGAAACTGTTTTGTAAAGGGAAAGGCAACACACAAGATTTAACCTACACAGCAAAATTCAAACTTCTTTGAAAGTTTGAATTTTCAGTTACTTCAGTCTTCCAGTAATTATGGAAATGTGGAAATATTATTACCCAAGAAAGCCAAAATGTTTTTTTTTGACTGTTAATTTCTAAAACTTCTTTTGATAAATGTACATACATGTAATAATATAATTGTTATTAAACCAACATTATACTTTAGTTTTTTATTCTACTATTTAGTCCTGTGCTTCATGGAATCCCAGAGGCCATCCCGTGGAAGATAGCTATCATTGTTTAGTACCTTTAAGAAAGAAAAAACTCTTCAGTGTGGAGTCTAATAAAATAGCTGCTTAAAGTTGGGACACCAAAGGGTTATCTCTTCAATGCAGGGAAAAATGAGAAATAGACCCATCACACAGAAAGGGGACTTGCAACAAAGGAACTTGCAAGGCTCAAATTTGGTCCGGTAGAAGGAAGGAAAAATGTCTCCCCTGAGATTTTGAACTTACAATGTCATTGTGAATTTTAAAAAAATGTTTAGGCAGATAATTTAATTTAAAGTGGTCTCCGGTGGGGAGGCCCCTGGAGGAATGATAGGAGCAGCTGTTCATACTCTCTGAAAGAACTCTGTTTCCATCCAGCTCTCCAGTGATTTTAAGATGTCAGCAATTTTCAGGCATATTCTCAAAATCAGAGATGATAAAATATGAAAAAGGACTGCTTGAATTGATTGAATACAGTGCCTAATAGTCATACAATACTGTTAAAATAATGAATTTTTAAAATATTTGTAAGGTGCGATCTTGTTGGTAGATTGAAGCAAAATTTTCATACCATTGCAGGAATGAAATTTAACCCCTTTCCTTCTAAAATAGAACAGGCTGGAGGGGAGACAGATGTATATATATATATATAAGTTACAAATAAATTTTCTAAAACAATAATAAATTATAAAGGATTGAATGTTGCCACAGAACTTACAGGATGACCAGAGCAGGCACTGTGGATATCTGAAATTGAATGGAATGTTTCATAGAATAAGTGACTTACGTAGTAGAGTTACATTTGCAAAGTGAAACTTAAAATACAGGTAATGATTTGGCTCTTTGAGCCTTCCATTTCAAATACTTTCATCTGAAACTTTCTTTCATCTGCAGTGAAAATCGAGGTTAATGACTTTTTCTTTCTTGCTTATAATATTCCTACATTTCCTCTGTTCCTTACTTCATTTTGCAAATTTTTCTAAATCCAAATAACATATGATTATAACATTTCTTTGTGTGCCTTTGTCCACACCCTCTTCTGCCCAGAATATTAGATATATATTTCCCAGATATAAAACTTAGAGTATTAAAATATATATACAAATGTTAAAATATATATTCTAATATTTTAACCTATATTTGTATGAGATATATTTTAATATTCTAAGTAATATGCTTCTACTGCTTTTCCTTGATATATCAATTTTAGGCATTATTGACTAAGTAAGGCTGTTTATAAAATTACGGCCCTGACAGGATCAGTCCATTTTCTAGCCAAGTTATATCCATTATTAGGTTTCTTGGAGTTATTAACCACTTCTCTTTTTTTCTGTTTGTTTACTTTTGGGAACTTAGCTCAATTTTTTTCTTTCGAATGCAAAAATAAATTTATTAAATTTCCAGCAGTAATTTTACTTTTTAAATGCTCATGCATATCAACCAATCCACCCATTCTGTATATATATATTTTTTTCCTGGAGCCCTGCTACTCTGGACTGGTCCCATCTAGGTCTGGTGCATTACCATCTTCCCTGGGCCGTCTTTGGCTCGCTCCTGTGTCTGTTTTCCTGGATCCATGGTTACCTTTTCTCTGAATTTACTCCCTAGTTTCGCTGGAGCACATTTTTCAGTAGCTTCCTGAGAAAGATATTTGGTAGGTAAATATCTGAAAATGTCTTTAATCTCTCACTGGGTAGATAATTTGAGTATGATATCCTAAATTTGCTGTCACTTTCCTTCAGCATTTTCCGGAGTTGCTGGTGAGAAATCTTATGCCATTTTCATTCCCTTTTAATAATCTTTTTAAAAATAATTAATTGTCTAAGTTGTATAAAGTTGGCATGAGACTTTTGTTAATCTATTTGCTAAGCATGTGATGGACACTAATAAGCTAAAGCCATGATTCTTAAACTATGTGTGAAGGTGTCCTTACATACCTAGGGTGCCCCAATGAACTTGCAAGAATGCCAGGGAATGTTTTACAATTTCAAGGAAGATGTAGCAGCATCTTTTGGACACCAGATAAACCATAACTTGAGTTTCAACATAAGATTGCTACATTCCTTCAGTGATGTGATATCTTTTAAAACTTAGTGTTCTCCAGTAGCTGTGATTTTTCAAAATATGAAAATTAGTATGGAACAGGAAATGAGAGTGGTAATATCTAATATTTTATAATTGTAAGGTTTGAAAAGTTACATAATGCCCAATAGGTGCTAAGTTTTTAGGACATAAATACTTACTGTTGTGTGGGTCTAATTACTTAATAAATAGACTTGTTGGGTATTTCTTTGGGCCCCAAGTGTGTCATGAAAAAGATCACTAAGACACTAAGGGCACCATTTACCAAGAAGGTTGAGACTTCTGAACTGAAGACTCTTACACTACCTGCATGTGGAAATCCTATTAATTGAACACTGTACTCTCCGCATTGGCCCACTAATAAACTGATTTTTGTTCTATCTTATTATTTCTTTCTCCAATTGTCCTTCTTTATTTTTATTCATTTTTTTTCTTTCTGGAGAATTACTAGATTTATGTCTACATCTCTTGTATTGATTTTTCATTCCATCTATGCTATCTCTAAGTTCCCAAACCATTTTCTTGTTCTTTGATTGTTCCTTTTTTATAAAGCATCCTCTTGTTGTTTTGCAGATACACTATCTTTGCTTGTCTCTCTGAGCATATGAATAATAGTTTTTTGAAGACTTGTTTGCACCAGTATTGACTCAGATGTCTCCAAGTTCCTTTCTCTCTACTTTGTATGCTATGCATATTTGATAATTTCATCTATTTTGAGGTTTGTCCCATCCTTGTGTACACCAAGAGACAGAATCTGAAATGAGGATCTAAGTGCAAAAAGTTTATTTGGGATGTAATTCTAGGAAATACTGGCAGTAAAGTGCAGACACAAGACAGTGAAGGAAATGAACTATAAAGACCCAACTGGCTGGGCGCAGTGACTCAAGCCTGTAATCCCAGCACTCTGGGAGGCCAAGGCGGGTGGATCATGAGGTCAACAGATCAAGACCATCCTACTCAACATGGTGAAACCCCGTCTCTACTAAAAATACAAAAATTAGCTGGGCATGGTGGCACGTGCCTATAATCCCAGCTACTCAGGAGGCTGAGGCAGGAGAATTACCTGAACCCAGGAGGCAGAGGTTGCGGTGAGCCGAGATCGTCCCATTGCACTCCAGCCTGGGTAACAAGAGCGAAACTCCGTCTCAAGAAAAAAAAAAAAGACCCAACTATTAGCTGCTCAGTCCCTCTAGGGCTCGGCATGTCCCAGCTGAAAGTGAGTGAGAAAATTGGTAAAATGGATTTACCAAGTCTCCAACCATCTTTGCGTTAAGGGTTGCTTCTAAGGCATTAACACCGTGGCAAATCTGGCCAGCATCTCTATGAGGGTTGTGTGTACTCCCAACAAAAAGATGTCCTCAGGGAGAGAACTGAAGGTATTTTTTGTAAGCAACCTTCGGCCCGTGGGGTTGAATGCAGAGGAGACATAACATGCTAACATTAGGCTTCATCATAATCACATTCCTTAATCTAAAAGAATTCAGAGGAAATCGTAGTGGAAGGTGTATTGCACATAGCCCTAGACACATTTTCATCTCAAATCTTTTATAAGAAGCTGGTTAAGACAGGCAAGACAATATTTTGGGCCACCTATATCAGATTTTAAAAAATTTCTTGGAATGTGTGGCTAGCAGAGTGTTTGTTGTCCAGCCAGTTGCCGATTGCACAGTTCCTGTGAGTAGAATATGTACAAGTTAGATTCATGGAACTGAACGGGGGTATTGCCTACATCAAGGTTTCTCAACCTCAGAGCTAGTGACATTTTGGATCAGATAATTCTTTATTGTGGAGGCTGTCCTTTGTATTATAGGATGTTTAGCAGCATCTCTAGCCTCTACTCACTAGACGCAAGTAGCATTATCTTTTTCTAGTTAAAAAAAATCTTTAGACTTTGACAAGTGTTTTCTGGAGGGCAAAAGAGCCCCCAATTGTGAGGCACTGGTGTACAGCCTATGGCTCTGGTTCTCAAATTTGGCCACATATTAAAACCCTCATGATTGGATCCTTTCCTAAGAGGTCCTGATTTTAATAGTCTAGGGTTGTGGAAGGTTTAAAAGTTCCCCAAGTGATTCTAATCTACAATCAAGGCTAGTCATTAACTGCAGGGCTGCGAAACTTGTTGAGTGTAAGATAATTGGATATGGTGGGGCCTGTGTTAAACTGGGCATCTAGTTGCCAGATAAAAGAGATTTTTCTATTCTTACAGATTTGTTTATCTTTATTTGTGCTTTGTAGCAAACATAAAACATTTTTAGCACACTTCTCTTTTAATAGTATTATTCTTGTATGATAAGAGAACTTATCGAGTCTCAGAATGAAGATCAAAACTAGGTGTGGAATAAAGGTGGACAAACCAGCTTTGCAACCTTGTGCAATCACTGCACCTGCCTGGCCTCAATTTTTGCATTGATAACAAGAGGATAGCAATGACACTTTCTTTATAGGGCTGATGTAACAATAATGCAGAACTTAGTGCATATCTGGCCCATAGAGGTCAGGATGTGTTGACTCTTATTAGGAACTGTTTGTCTTCCTCCACTTGAATGTATGCTCCTAAGAGAAGAGAACAGGTCTTACCCATCTTAAAACTTCAGCGAACTGAGCACAATTATTAACCCATTGACAAGTGTCCGTTCATCATTAGCAAAGGCCTTCACACAGAAGGATTTGGACAAAAAAAAAAAAAAAAAGGAAAACAAGTTCCTTTGTTTAGTGATATTTACTGGCTGTTAAATAATGTACATTAGTTTGGGTTAACAACTACTCCAAAATGCTGCCAGGTGATAGGCTTTTGTTATATCAATCAACCCCTGAATAACAAAGTCCTATGTGCTATCTATCTCGATCCTTACTTCTAAACTAGAAAAATATAATTTTGAAGTGGATTTACTGCTTTTCAAATATTATAAACTTTAAAATTTTTGTATGGGTACACTTTATTTAAAATTTTAACATGTCACAGGATCAGTATTTCTCATTTTGTTAGAAAATATATTCTCTGCAAACTTATCTTTGCCTCAGATATGAAATAACAGGAGACATGTTTCTGTATGGTGTGTTTATCAATCTGTATTTATCAGGGAAAAAAATAAATATAAGTTTCTACAGCTATTCGAGACGTTGAATTGTATATCCTTTGAAAATGCCCGTAGGCCTGGGAGAACTATCTGAAAGAAACTTTTTAAAGAAGGAATCTCAGAAAATGGTTTGTAAAATTCCATTCACAGTTACTATATATTTTTTATTGTATACCTCTTTATATATTAATATTTGTGTGCATATAAGGTAAAATGCGCACACAAAATATACTTTGGGAAGGTTGAAAGTTTCTCTGTTATAGTTGTATAGAAAGAGCATACATATAAAACATACCTAACACTATATGACAGATGAGTGTCCAAATAGTAAATGCTGTACACAAAGAATGAGGGAAGAATCCTGAGACTTAGGATTCTGGAAGGAATCTTGCCTTGCAGAGCCAGGGCCAAAGTGGATGCAAAATAATTCATTCCTGTCTGCCACTGCCTATTTTCATGCTGTGTGAAAACAGCATGTTTGCCCTGCAAAGCCGCTTAATATAAGTCTCCTCACCAGCCCTTTCACACCAGGTTGGAATAGTTAGACTCTCAGGGACACATCCCAGGCACTGGGAACCTCCCACTTCAAATGCACTTTCTTTCAGTTCTGCCTCTCCTTTCCAGGCTTTCAACTTTTGCATTTTTAATCCCTTTTTTGGGGTTGACTGTGTCACCCAAAATTCATAGGTTGAAGTTCTAACCCCCAGTATCTCAGGATGTGATATTTGGAGATAGTGTCTTTGTAGACCCTAATCAAGCATATTAGTCTATTCTCGCACTACTATAAACAAATACCTGAAACTGGATAGTTTATAAAGAAAATAGCTTTAATTGGCTCATGATTCTACAGGCTGTGCAGGAACCCTGGCTGGGGAGGCCTTGGGAAGCTCACAATTATGGCGGAAAGAGAAGAGAAGCAGGCATGTCTTACATGGTGGCAGGGGAAAGAGAGAGAGAGAAAGAGAGAGATCTCACCCTATTATTGTCATAACTAAACCAGTTGCAGGATTTTTATTCATTCCACAGTATAAAAAAATTTTTATCACTCTTGACCTATATTAAAAAATAAGCTCAGGCATATTTTATCATTGAGAGAGACACTGTGAGCTAGTCACATTTATAAAAGTTCATTCATGTGCTTCAGATAACAAATATGAATATTTCACAAACTCTTAATTTTGAGGGGTTTTGGCAGCAACATTAAAATTCAGATTAATTCTTTGTTAATGTGTTCTAGAATCTTGTATTAAATAAATAGGATTTTTTAAATCACCTTAGGAAAACCTGTATTTGACTCGTTAAAACAATGTAGAGTTTTAAGTTTAATAGGCTGATCTGCAGTTACACAACTCCTTGGACTCTAACCACCCAAATCTTATAATTCCAGTTCTCAGAAATGCAGGACACTGGAAGAAAAAAAGATTTTGAACTGGAGCTGGTTTCTGGAATGGAACGCTTCATAGATTGTTCCCTGATAGATCACATTTGGGAACAGCATTTCTTCACGGGCAGCCTGTGTCCTCTCTCTTGGATCTCAACTTGCTTCATCTCTTTAGCAGCATGATTAGAAGTGGTTACTGCAACTGCTGTGGAAAAATCCACCAGGAGGTTATCGTATTTAATGTTTCAGAAAACTTGCTTTTGAAGGTGATAACAGTATTTCATAATCACTGTGCTTTTGGGCAAGCACAGATGTGTTGCATACCGTTAAATCACTCTCTCCTTAGAATGTAATGTTGTTCTTTGAAAGCATTTAGTTCTCCTTCCACCTTTCTTTCCCCTCACCCTCTCCTTATGCCAAAGAAGGTACATTTCCCAGACTTACTCTCTACACCCAGCAAGGTATTCATTCCTTCAGCAATCCTGAGTGATTTTTTTTTTTTAACTCATTCCTTCCCAGTTGCATCTCCAAGCTCATGATACATGTTGCTTAATCATTTCAGGTCTGCACAGACTGAGCACCTCCTAGTATGGACTCCTAGAGTGGATTCCAGAGATAGAAACATATCAACAAACCACCAACACATAGACCTATATAGAGAGGCCGCCACCTTTTCTTTTCTTCCAATAGAGTTTGCCTTGAATTACAGTCAGGGAGAATCATAGTGTAATAGACACTTCAATCCCAGTAACAAAAAAAGGTGGCTTGAAATTGTATTTCAGTCAATATTGATTCCATTAAAAGTACGAGTGTTGAAAAGGAAATGATGGAGAAGCAGAGGGCCTCTTATGTGAGTCAGCTAGTGTACAACCAACTACCTTTGCATAAAATAAAATCTCAAACCTTTGGTATACCATCAAAACTTGCTGCAATTTTACCTTCAACTTCAAATTGGAAAGTTTTCCAATATCCCAAGTTGACACGACACTTTGACTAAATTATCCTACCTACCTTCTAAAAACACTAAAATATAGGACTTGGCATAGTACCTGGCTAGCAGCAGGAAACTAGTTTATATTTGGAGAAGAATAAATGAATGAGTGAATATGAATGTGTTTCTTCCGCTATTGCCATTAAAAAATATTTAAAAGCTTTATGGGTACAAGTAGATTTTTGTTATATGGATGAATTTTTTAGTGGTGATGTCTGGAATTTTAGGGAGCCCATCACCCAAGTAGTGTACACTGTACTCAATAGATAGGTTTTCATCACTTACCTCCACTCACTCTCCCCTTTTATAAGTCTCCAGTATGCATTATATCTCTCCGTATGCATTTACGTACCCATAGCTTAGCTCCTACTTGTAAGTGAGAACATGCAGTATTTAGTTTTCAATTCCTGAGTTACTTCACTTAGAATAATGGCCTCTTGTTTCAGCCAAGTTGTTGCAAATGACATCGTTTTGTTATTTTTTTATAGCTGAGTGGTATTCCATGGCGTGTGTGTGTGACTGTGTGTCCATGTGTACTTCTTTACTACTCTTATATGTATGAGTAGTACCTACTCATTGGTTGATAAGCATTTCAGTTGTTTCCATATCTTTGTAATTGTGATTCATGCTGTGATTAATATACCCATGCAGGTTTCATTTTAATATAGCTATTGTTTTCCTTTGGATAAATACTCAGTAGTGGAATTGCTGAATTGCTGCATACTGTGTTCCATAAAGGTGTACTAATTGACATTCCCACCAGCAGGGCATAAGTGTTCCATTTTCATTATATCCACACCACCATCTATTGTGTGTTTTCTGTTTTGTTTTGTTTTTACTTTTTAATAATGTTCATTCTGATTGGGGTAAGGTAGTATCTTATTGTAATTTTAATTTGCATTTCCCTGATGATTGATGTTGAGCATTTTTTCCATGTTTGTTGGAATTTGTATATCTTCTTTTGAGAAATTCATTATTTCAAACATTTGTGATATTTGCCCACTTCTTAATGAGATTATCTGGGTTTTTTTCTTGCTGATTTGTTTGAGTTCCTTGTAGATTTTGGATGTTAGTCCTTTGTTAGATGCATAATTTGCAAATATTTTCTCCCATACTGTAAGTTGTTTGTTTACTCTGATTAGTATTTCTTTTGCTCTGGAGAAGTTTTCAGTTTAACTAGGTCCAGTTTACTTAGCACAGTTCTATCTGCCTTAGAGGCTTTAGTCATAAATTATTTGCCTATGCCAACGTCCAGAAGAGATTTTCCTAGACTTTCTTCTAGAATTATTATGGTTTTAGGTCTTAAATTGAGGTCTTTGATCAATTTTGAGTTAATTTTTGTATATGGTGAGAAATAGGATCCAGGTTTATTCTTCTACATGTGGCCATTCAATTTTCCTAGTGCTATTTATTGTGTCCTTTCTCCAATTTGTGTTTTTGTATCCTTTGTCAAAGATCAGTTGGTTGTATTTGAGTTTATTTATAGGTTCTCTACTCTATTCCAATGGTCTGTGTGTCTACTTTCATACCAGCACCATGCTGCTTTGGTTACTACAGCATTGTAATATAATTTGAAGTCAGGTAATATGATGCCTCCGATTTTTTCTTTTTGCTTAGGTTTGCCTTAGGTATTTGGGCTCTTTTCAAGTTTCATAGGAATTTGAGGATTTTTTTTTTGAATTGTGTAAAAATTGATGTTGATATTTTCATAGAAATTGAATTGAATCTGTAGATTGCTTTGGGCAGTATGTCCATTTTCATGATACTGATTCTTCCAATCCATGAACAGGAGATGTATTTCCATTCATTTGTGTGATCTATTATTTCTTTCTGCATTGTTTTGTAGTTATCCTCATAGATCTCTTTTCCCTCCTTGGTTAAGTAAATTACTAAATATTTTATTGTTTTGTTGCTATTGTAAAAGGAATTGTGTTCTTGATTTTATTCTCATCTTGGTTGTTGTTAGTGTGTAGCAGTGCTGCTGATTTGTATACACTGATTTGGTAACCTGAGACTTTACTGAATTAATTTTCTACTTATAATATTATATCATAGACAAACAGAAATTTGACTTCCTTTTTTTCAATTTGGATGCCTTTTATTTCTTTCTCTTCCCTGATTGCTCTGATTAGGATTTCTGGTATTATGTTGAATAGAAGTGGTGAAAGTGGGCATTCTTGTCTTGCTCCAGTTCTTAAGGGCAGTGCTTTCAATTTTTCCCCATTCAGTATGATATTGGCTATGGGTTTGTCTTATATGGATTTTGAGTATCCTTATATGGATCATTATTTTGAGGTACGTTCCTTGTATGTCTGGTTTGTATCATAGAGAGTTGCTGGACTTTATTGAATGTTTTTTCTGTGTCTATTGAGATGTTCCTATGGCTTTTATTTTTAATTGTTTATGTGATAAATCCCATCTATTGACTTGCATATGTCAAACATGCCTCTGCATCCCTCGGATGAAACCCACTTGATCATGGTGAATTACCTTTTTTGATGTGCTGTTGGATTTGGTTGGCTAGGATTTCCTTGAGGATTTTTGTATCTATATTCATCAAATGCATTGGTCTGTAGCTTTCTCTTTTTTTGTTTTATTATTTCCTGGCTTTGGTATTGGTGATACTGGCTTCATAGAATGAGTTAGGAAGGATTCTCTCAATCTTTGGAGGAGTTTCAGTAGAATTGGTACCAATTATCCTTTGAATGTCTAGTAGAATTTGACTGAGAATCTGTCTGGCCATGGGTTTTTTTTGTTGTTGTTGGCAGTATCTTTTTTTTTAATTACTGATTCAATCTTACTGATTATTATTGATCTGTTCAGGATTTCTATTTCTCCCTGATTTGAGCAGGGGGATTATATGTTTTCAGAAAATTATTCAATTTCTCTAGATTTTCTTTTTTGTGTGCATAGAGTGTTCATAGTAGTCTCAAATCATCTTTTGTATTTTTGTAGTGCCAGTTGTAATGTCTACATTTTCTTTTCTAATTGAGCTTATTTGAATTTCTTCTCTTCTTGAATACTCTAGGAAGCAACTTTTCAATTTCTTTAATCTTTACAAAAAAAAACAGATTTTTGTTTCACTGATTTTTTTTCTTTTGGTTTCAATTTCATTTGATTCTGCTCTGATCCTTTTTATTTCTTTTTACCTGCTAGCTTTGGGTTTGGTTTGTTCTCTTTTTCTAGTTCCTTGAGTCATGACATTAAATTATCAGTTTTTGATCCTTCAAACTCTCTGATATAGGTGTTAAGTGCTGTAAACTTTCTTCTTAGCATGGCTTTTGCTATATCCCAGAGTTTTTGATAACTTGTGTCACTGTGATCATTCATTTTGGAAAAGTCTTAAATTTCCCTCTTTGTTTTGTTAACACAAAAATCATTCTGGAACAGATTTGCTTAATCACTATGTATTTGTATGCCTTGAAAGAATTGATTTCTGATTTGATTCTGCTGTGCTCTGAGAAGATACTTGATACTGTTTCAATAACTTAAAATTTATTGAGACTTCTTTTGTGGCCTATCCCATGGTCTATCTTGGAGAATGTTTCGTGTGCTGAGGAGAAGAATGTGTATTCTGAAGTTCTTGGATAGAATGTTCTGTGAGGGTCTTTTAGATCCATATGTTCTAGACTACAGTTTAAGTCCAGTGTTTCTTTGTTGATTTTCTGCCTCAATGATCTGTCTAGTGCTGTCAGTGGAGTTGAAGTCCCTCACTATTATTGTGCTGCTGACTATTTCTTTTCCTATATCTAATAGTAACTGCTTTATGAATCTGGGAGCTCCAGCATTAGCTGCATATGTATTTAGAATTGCTACATCTTCTTGTTGAATTGATCATTTTATCGTTATGTAATGACTTTCTTTGTCTTTTCCTTTTGCTGTTTTTGCTTTAACATCTGTGTTATCTAATATAAGAATTGCTACTACTGCTTGCTTTTGGCTTCCATTTCAATGAAATATGTTTTTCTACCCCCTTACCTTGGGTCTATAAGAATTCTCACATGTTAGCTGTATCTCTCAAAGATAGCAGATATTTGGTTTATGATTTTTTAATCAGTTATGCCAATCTATATATCTTAATTGGATGATTTAGACCATTTACCTTCAACATTAATATGGAGATATGAATGTGAATGGCTATTCCAGTCATCATGTTGTTACCTAGTGACCTTATTTTATTACTTGTCTTATTGTTTTATAAACCCTGTTAATTTTAAGCTTTCAGGAGTGTCTATTCCAATATGCAACAGCCTTTTGTTGCAAGATTTAGAAGTCCTTTTAGCATTTCTTATACGGCTGGTCTAGTATTGACAAATTCTCCCAGCATTTGCTTATCTAAGAAAGACTTTATTTCTTCTTCATTTATTAAATTTAGTTTTGCTGTATGCAAAATTCTTGGCTGACAGTTATTCTAATTAAGGAGACTAAAGATAGGACCCCAGTCCCTTCTAGATGTCATTTCTACTCAGCAGTCTCCTGTTAGTCTGATAGATTTTCCTTTACAGGTTACCTGATGCTTTTGTCTCACTGCTGTTAGAATTCTTTGTTTCAGGTTGAGTTTAGATAATCTGATGACTATATGTCTTGATGATTTTCTTTGTGCAATGAATCTTCCAGGAATTATTTGAGCATCTTTTATTTAGATGTTTAAATTTCTAGCAAGACCAGGGAAGTTTTCCTTCATTATTCCCTCAAATAGGTTTCCCAAACTTTTGCTTTTTGTTCTCCTCAGGAACACCTATGATTCATAGGTTTGGCCATTTTACAAAATCCCATATTTTATTCATTTCTCTTAATCTTTTTTCTTTTTTATTTTAGTTTGACTGGGTTAATTTAAAAGCTTTGTCTTCAGGCTCTGAATTTCTTCTACTTGATCTAGTCTATTGTTAAAGCTTTCCACTGCATTTTATAATTCCCTAAATGTGTCTTCCATTTCCAGTAATTCTGATGTTTTTTCTTTAAAATATGTATCTCTTTAAAATTTCTTTTATTCATGTCCTGAGTTGTTTCTGAAATGTACTTTTACTGCTTTTTACCTTTCTCCTGTATCTTTATTAGTGACTTAATAAACCACCTTTTGAATTTTTCATCTAGTATTTCAAAGATTGCATTTGGGTTTGGATCTACTGCTGCGGAGTTAGTGTACTCTTCTAAGGGTAGTAGAGAACCCTGTTTTTTTCATATTGCCTGAATTATTTTTCTCATTTTTTTTCTTTTTTAGGTAGACTATTTTATCTAATTATTTTAAAATTTATTTTTGATTCAATTAAAAAAAATTTTTTTCTTGTGAATGTGACTCTAAGGTTTATAGTTTATTGTCACCTAGCTTCAGCTCTGGGTGTTTCCCATGGTGAATACTCTGTAAAAGTTTCTTGTTTATAGAAAATCTTTATGTAATGGCTTTCTCAGATGCTAGTTGTCGCAGTGATGTGCTGGGTATGTGAGCAGGTTCACCATCTCCTGTTGGGCTGAGATAGCAGAGGTCTCATGAAGCTTATCTATTCCCCAGTGGTATGCATTTTTAAAAATGTTTTTTCCCTAGTAATTTCTTCATTGGGTTGAGCAGTTTATGCTTCAGGTGAATGGGAGATGGCTATGGTTAAAATCTGGCTATGGCTAAAGCAGGTGGATGGACACATTACCCTAATTGTGTGCCAAGGTCTCAGACTTGACAGAGGTAGGTGGGGAAGCTTTCAGTGAAATGCACTTAAATCTTTCAAGGGAAAGGGAAGGAACCACCACAGCCTCCATTTCAAGCCAGTAGGAAAGTGATCCTCCTACCAGCCACATTCTTGACCTGGTATTCTGGCTATTCAGATCAGACCACTACCTCTTTTCATCTGTAGGAATGCTGATGTGCTATGTAGGGAGGGATTGTGACTCTGCCTCCCATTCAAGCCCAAACTTGGAGGGTACTCCTCCTGCAGGAATGCAGTTACCCTGAAGTATTCCAGAAAGGCTGTCTACAGATGTACCCATGCTCAACTCCAGTGGTAAAACCCCAGCTGTGTCTGCAGCGGTGGGCAAGGGGGATAAGCCCCTTTTCTAAAACCCTTCATGAGCACCAGGGATGCCTAACTGTTGGGCTAGATCTCCAGACTTTTCTCACTGAACCCAGCACTACACCTGTGCCTCTGCTGAAACAAATTTCCCACAATTAGAAAGTGCAGGGATGCAAGGCCTGCAACCTGATCTGTTTTGCCCCACAGGGTGCTCCCTTAATGTGGTGCATGCCATCTTCCCTAGGAGTAACAGCAGTCCCTGAGGGCCAGATTACTGGAAATCCCTCTGCTCCTTTTAGTCTAGCCATCCAGTGGAGTGTCCATACCCCAGACTGTTGCTGGGGAATGTCTGCAGATGATTCAGTGGTGTGACCTGTTCTCTAGTCTCCCAGCAGCAGGTACTGCGTCAGCCCTGATGGAAGTAGGCGGGAAGTTATGTAGATTGTGTGAGATTTCCTTGGTTATAAATAGCCTTAGTGTGTTGGCTTTCTCAAATTTCTCAAATGCCAGCTGTAGTAGTAATGTACTGGGCACATGTACAGACTCAAGACCTCCTGGTTAATCAGCGTAATGCAGGCAATGGCAATAGCTGAGGTTGTGCAGGTTTTTTCTTCCTGAGTGCTGTGTTATTGTACCTGCAGATGTTGTAATGGGCTGTGATGGCTGGCTTCCAGCCAGGAGGTGGCACTAGCAGAAGAGCACCAGCTGCGGTAGTAGCAATGGGATTTGTGCTTGCCTTGTGTTTCCCAGGGTAGGTACTTTGGTGTCTCAGGCAGTGAGTGGGACCATGAAGCACCCAAAATTCCCTGTTCATTGTGTCACACTACCAGGGTGGGTGGAGGGGCAAAGCTACGTGGGGGCCAGGTCAGAAAGGTCCATGAACTGGCTTCCCATGTGCAGGCTCAAGCAACAGCCCCAGTGGGGATCAGAGGGCAGTTCCCTGGCTGCTGTAGTAATGTTCCAGTGAGGAGAATAGCTGCCTCCACTGCACAAAGGGATCTGCATGGACAGTGGGGAGTAGCAGGTGGCAGTAAGCTGCACTCAGCCCCCACACATTTGGCAAGGGAGGTCTGACACCCACAGTGTTCTGCTAGCAACAGCTAGCTAGGTTCCAGGCAGCCTGTACTTAGAACCCAAGACTGCCCCAGGCCATAGTCTTCTTGACTGAGGCAGAAATCGTGGCTTTCGGGCCATCTCCCTCCTGATCCACCCAGGAAGCAGAAGTGCTCAACTCCTGTGCTTACTTCCTGCTTTCTCAATGGTTCTGATCATAAGGGTTCATCCCCACTCAAGATTATATCATGAATCTCAGTTGGGACCTTCTCTCAACCTGTGAACACTGGCTAAATTATCTGGCAGACTTCTGCAAGGTCCCCTGTGAGGTGGAATCGAGAATGGTTTCCCTCCATCCCTGCTGTAGTCTGGGGGTGCACTCAAATGATATCCCAATTCTACTCCTTCTCATATATTCCCCAGTACTCACTAAATCAGCTCCAGCTCTTAGTAGGGTTGAGACCTTCCCCCTTGGCCTGGACTGCCTGGCTCCCTAGTGTAGAATTGTGTCATGGAGACAGTCTTTCCCACCTTAAACTCTACAGACTCCCAGTTCACCTGTGGGCTGCAGCCCACGGCTTATTTCCGAGAGTCTGCAGTTTCTTTCAGTTTTTCATTTAAATCCCAGTGTTGTTTCTTGGAAAACTGTTTACGGCATGAGTCTCAACACAATATTTTGTCTTTTCAAGTGGAAGAGGCATACTTACAATGCATCCAGTCCACCATCTTAGAAAAAAAAAATTCTGCCATTGCCATTTTTAACATCATTTTGGTATTCCACACTAAGAATATTCCAATTCCAAATTCTGGAGAGAGAAGGGACCTGATTAGTGTAATTTGGGTCAGGTGTCTCTCCTTTGTTCAGACAGCTATGTCCAGGAAATCAGGCCATATAGCTAGATGCCCACTTAGCCAGGACTCTGAGCATACTTTCTGAGAATTGGCTCCCAGGTATTCCTGCCACATCATGGAGTAGCTTATGAAAAGCAATTTATTGAGATATTATAGGAGATCTAATCTAGTCATCCCACTGTATCTGAGGTGAATTGGTTCCAGGACTCCCTTGAATACTAAAATAATTGGATGCTCAAATCCTGTATTAAAAAATGGTGCTGATCAAGTGCAGTGGCTCACGCCTATAATCCCAGCACTTTCAGAAGCTAAGGCAGGCGGATTGTCTGAGGTCAGGAGTTTGAAACCAGCCTGGCCAATGTGGCGAAACTCCATCTCCACTAAAAATACAAAAATTAGCCAGTTATGGTGGTAGGAGCCTGTAATCCCAGCTACTCGGGAGGCTGAGGCAGGAGAATTGCTTGAGCCCAGGAGGCGGAGGTTGCAGTGAGCAGAGGTCGCATCATTGCACTCCAGCATGGGCAACAGAGCAAGACTCCATCTCAAAAAAAAAAAGGTGGAGTATTTGAATATTACCTATACACATTTTCCATATACTTTAAATCATTTCTAGATTACTCATAATACCTAATACAACGTAAATATTGTATAAATTGTGGTTATACTGTATTGTTTTTTTCTTGCATTATTTTACAATAATTTTGTTTGTAAAAAATTTTTGTTTTTATTTATCTATTTGGAGTATTTTCCTTGTGTGGTTGTTTGAATCCTTGGATGCAGAACTCACAGATATGAAGGGCCAACTGGATCTGAAAGGGGCAGTAGGAAACAAGGAGTTTACTAATTATTCATTCTTCTTTGCCCTCAAAGTTGGACAGAGATTTAAGAAGCAGTGTCTGTAACTGGAAAAGACTAAAAGGGGTTACGAAGTGGTATTTTCAGGGGAAAGCCAAGACTCTATCAGGGCAATTAGGAGGAAGAGGAGAGAGAATTTGAAAAAAGATCAAAAATAGGAGAAAGGATTTTTTTCCATAAGAATTTTAGGTTTTGGTTAGCGGTATTGACATTTTTTTTTTCATCTTGGGATTACATATGCATTATTGAATGCCCATGTGTATTCAATACAATAGTCAATGTGTATTCTATATGCATAACATTACTTTCATTTTAAATAATGCATTCCAAGTCCAAGCAGAAATATTATAAATTTTAAAAAAGCAACCCAAGTTAGATTGAGATTTCCCCATGATTGTTGAATGATTCAGTAAAAAGTGAGTGAGTGAATGAAATTAGTTAGTGCAAACCAACCAAGAGTGAAAAGTAGGTGTATTTGGAAAGTATCAGTGTTAAATAATTTATATAATTCACTTCCGTGAGAAATACTTGCTATTCTGTTAGATTGCTAGCAGAACTTGTGTTCAAAATTAATCTCGAATAGTTAGGCCAAGTCAGATCAACATATTTGCAGAAGGTTTTTAGGTTAGTATACAATTGCACATTATAGACGAACTATTGATTAGACACACCCGTTTAGAGGAATTTTTTCTCTCTAAAACTTCCTGTGAAGAGATAGGTTTTTAGGATAAAGACCTGGGCATGAAGAGTTGGACAGAAATCAAAGGGAAACTTGTTATCCTTGTTTTTCTTTCTGAGTGAAAAGCAAAAGGTAAATATCATGGTCAAATGGAAAAGTAAATTGGATTTTAAATTTTCATGTGTATTTTCCCAGTTTTAGGTGCTCAGATTTCATTTAGTGGTTCAGTTATAATTGACAAGACCCCTTAAAATGTGACACATCCACTTGAGGGTTGAAGTTTTTCATGTATCTGTTAGGTGAATGCTTTTACATTACTGGATTGTAACTCTGTTATTTAACATGTGTCATGTTTATAACATTTTAAATGTGTGTCGGGGGTATGTATGTATACATAATTATGCATAATTTAAATTATTATTAGATCCTAGGAGATAATGTTGTGGTTTTATGTTCTCCATTTTATTAATTAGAGGATTGAAAAATAGGTAAACATGCAGTAAATCTATAACCAATAAATGTTGTATTTCAATTGATTTTTAACTTTTAATGGGATATATTTCCAGAAAAAAAGAAACTCTGAATGTTTGATGGAAATTTTCAAGGATTTTGTTGTCTCCTGGCTTCATGGGTTGAATTGTGTCTCCCCAAAATTCATGTAATGAAATTGTAACCCCCATTATCTCAAAAGATGACTGCATTTGATTGTTGCAAATATAATTAGTTAAAATGAGGTTATATTGGGGTAGGGCGAGACCCTAGTCCAGTCACTGGTATTCTTATAAAAAGGGGAAATTTGAACATACAGACATGCATGGAGGGAAGACCATGTAAAGAGACACAGCAAGAAGATGGTCTATCCACAAGCCGTGGAGAGAGTCCCAGGATAGTTCCTTCTCTCGCAGCCCCTTAGGGAGCCAGCCCTGCTCACACCATGATTTTGGACTGTCTCCAAAACAATGAGACAATAGCATTTCACTCTTTAAGCTACCTGGCTTGTGATGTTTTGTGACGACGGCCCTAGCAAATGAAGACACCTGGCTATATGTCAGTAGTAGCTTCCCTACAGAATGCTACAGTCTCTCCCATGCTAGAGACAGACATTGTGTTAGAAATTCCAAATCCATGCCCCAGCTCCTAGAACTTTCCCTGTTCTTCTTCTTAACATGAGACATTTATAATATCTCCATTATAAATGGAGCCGTGATGTGATTTTCCAGGAAGACCTATAGAATCACCTGAAAATTCCTGAATAAGAATGAGTCCATTCTCTGTTTTATGGAATTCATAAAAAGAGGTAGGTAGGCCACCCACGTATAATACACAGACCCAGTAGGAATCCTAGGCTCTTGCTTTGGCTCCATGTTCCATGGCCTTGGGTCACTCACTTAACTTAATCTGAGTCTAAGTCTTTTTATTTGTAAAATAGAAGTTAGTCTTTTTGTGACTTTGTGAGTCTAAATTCAAATATCTTTATTGCATAAGCCAAAGTAAGCAAATATGTAGTAATATCACTTAATAGTTTTCATGGTTATTTTTCTCACCACTTTCATATGTTATCCAAGTAAAAAATATCTTTGGTTAAAATAATGGCAAAGTACAGGATATCTTATAATGCAAAGTACAGCGTCTGCTTTAGCTGTCCCCAACCTCCTCAGTGCCTAGCTTACTTCACAGAGGAAACCACTTTTAACAGTTTCTATATTTAGCTCTTTTAGTGGTTACCACCCTAACTTTAATAATATGCTCATGCTGCATTTCCTTGATAATCCACTCCAGACATTATCGCTTTGCTCCCCACCACTTACTACTTTTAAAGTGAAGAATCACTGATTCAGCAGATATTCCCGATAGCCTGTAGGTCCACAGACCACTTTTGGAGTCTCACTTTCTATGGATCTAATTTGAACAAAGAGCTTTTGCTTCATTCAAAGGGAAACCAGGGATTAGATGGTCACGGGGCATAGCACAGAGCGGGAAGGCATTTGGCTTAATTACTCAAGCTTAAATTGGGCCTGAGTTGTAATGAGTTTACTCTTATATTTTTCTGTCTGACCACATTTATTTTAAATGAAATTGAAACAAAAGGTGAACTTAAGGCCGGGCGCGGTGGCTCAAGCCTGTAATCTTAGCACTTTGGGAGGCCGAGGAGGGTGGATCATGAGGTCAAGATATCGAGACCATCCTGGTCAACATGGTGAAACCCCGTCTCTACTAAAGATACAAAAAATTAGCTGGGCATGGTGGCGCGTGCCTGTAATCCCAGCTACTCAGGAGGCTGAGGCAGGAGAATTGCCTGAACCCAGGAGGCGGAGGTTGCGGTGAGCCGAGATCGAGCCATTGCACTCCAGCCTGGGTAACAAGAGCGAAACTCCGCCTCAAAAATAAAAAAATTAAAAAATTTAAAAAATAAATAAATAAAATAAGGTGAACTTAAAATATTGTATGTTTCTTTTATAAAAAGGAAATTCTCTACCCTGATAGCTCATTACCGTAAGAAGTACCACTTATTAAGACATACTTAACAGGTATGGTGCTTCATTCTTCAATTTTAAACAGTAACTAAACTGCTATGAAGATGTTAGCTGATCATTTGTGGTGTCAGTTTGATTTTGGTTTCGCAGCTTTCCCCTTGTAGAAATTTGCTATTGGTTATTCAAAGAATAAGACACAAGAGAGAAAACAGAGTTGAAACCATTACTGTTTCTTGGAAAAACAGCATTTCTGCAATTCAGATTTTTCTGGAAATGCTATAAAGTAAATGACTTTCACTTATAATTCAGAAAACCTCATTATCATCCATAATGTCAGCAAAGCATATTTTAGAAAAGTGTGCATGTTGACCATTTTGGGTTGCTTTGAGCCCTGCGCAAAGAATGTGACACATCTGTTGCTCATTTCTGACTCCTGATTACGTTGAATGATTCACCAAAGTGGAGTCAGAAAACTCTGTTGTTAATGGAGTTTCATATTTAACTAACTATATATGCCATAGCCACAGATAAATATTAAAGCATAGCTTAAGAGGAGATATTCAAAGACATGTCTGCAAATGGAGCAAGCGAATCTGGTGGTGGGTTGAAAAGAAATGTAGAAGGGGTTGTATTGTCAGCACTTTCTGCTGCATATCAGTCCTCTTTCTGGAAATTCTTTCTTGCCTTGTTGGTTTCATGATAGCACTCTTGGCCGGGTGTGGAGGCTCACACCTCTAATCCAGCACTTTGGGAGTTTGAGGTGGGCAGATCACCTGGGGTCAGGAGTTTGAGACCAGCCTGACAAACATGGAGAAACCCTATCTCTACTAAAAATACAAAATTAGCTGGGCGTGGTGGCTCATGCCTGTAATCCCAGCTACTTGGGAGGCTGAGGCAGGAGAATCGCTTGAACATGGGAGGGAGAGGTTGTGGTGAGCTGAGATCACGCCATTGCACTCCAGCCTGGACAACAAGAGCAAAACTCCGTCTCAAAAAAAAGAAAAAAGAAAAGAAAAGATAGCACTCCTTCCTGGTTCTCCTGCTCTGCCACAGATATATACACATGTATATTTTTTAACTAGATCATCATTCCTCATATGTCTCCAATAGGCTTTTACTAAGGTGTCATCCACTGTTACTTTTTTGCAACACATCCACCAGTTTTTCATTTGCCCCCACTGGTCTTTACTCAATATAATATATCCAGAGCCCTGTGTAGATACATCACATTGTTTTCGCAGATAACCCTCAAATCCCTTTCTCTAGCCCTTGTCTCTGTCCTGAACTTCAGGCATGTCTACTGTATGTTCCTACAAGGATGACCCAGAAATTTCTCAAACGTGACATACCTCAAAACAAAGCTATCATTTTTCACTCATCTATAAAACTCCCTTCCTCCTAGTGCCCCTTAGTTAGGTAACAGACTCATGCTTTATCTACTAACACAAGCCAGAAAACTAAGGCTCCAGCTCTGTCCCTACCTATCTCTCAGAGTTCATTTTACCCACAGTTTGCAAATTTGTATTCCTCTTTTTATGCCCACTTCCCTGTCCCAGTCAGATCTTATCCTGTTTCTGGACTGCAGCAATATCTTCTATAGTTGGGCTTTCAGTCATCAGCTTCTCTAATTCTCTACTTTGAACTTTTATTTTATTTTATTATTATTCTTTTGAGATGGAGTCTCGCTCTATCACCAGGCTGGAGTGCAGTGGCTTGATCTCGGCTCACTGCAACCTCCGTCTTCTGGATTCAAGCAATTCTCCTGCCTCCGCTTCCAGAGTAGCTGGGATTATAGGCATGTACCACCACACCTGGCTAATTTTGGATTTTTAGTAGAGCTGGGGTTTCACCATGTTGGCCAGGATGGTCTCGATCTCCTGACTTCGCGATCCACCTGGATTGGTCTCCTAAAGTGCTGAGATTACAGGTGTGAGCCACTGTGCCCAGCCTTAAATTTCATTTTACCCACAGTTTGCAAATTAGCGAGAGCTAATTTACTTAATAGAGGTGAGGATCATGTCATTTGCCTGCTCAAAAAATCCTTGATTGATTCTCTGTCAGGAAACAACTGAAACTTCATAGCCTGACATCCAACAGTTTTTCATCTGTGCCCACTGGTCTTGACTCAATATAATATATCCTGGGCCCCACGTGGAGCCTGACATATTGCAGAGGTCTGATAAATAAATGAATAAATGAACAAATGAATGATGGAGTGGATAAATGAATAAATGACTCACTAGGCATTGAGACTGCCAAACAGACGCATGCATCATGCTGCCAAGAAAGCTATTTCCCTCCTTCTGAAATGGGTGAAATCCTATTCAATATGTCATTTTTTAGTTTTTTTAGATGATTCCAGTCGCAATCAATTGCTTCTCAACTTGGGATTCTAAGACATTTTATTCATGCTACAGTTGTAGCAGTTAATATATGTCAAGGTTATTTATATGTGTTGGGTGTTCACAGAGACGGGGTACTCTTGATGGCAATGAAGACTCAGCTGCTAGCAAAAAGGCTGGTGCACTTGGGAAATCAGTCTATGTCTGAATTTCCACCACCACTAATTTCCTTCAGTCATATTATGTCTTTCCTGAAGTCCTACAATAGCTTTATAAGTGTTTTCCCTACCTCCATTGTCATCTTAAAATCTACTCCTCATAGTCCTGCTAGATGAATTCTTTTGTTCTGAAAATGAAAAGCTTGCAGAAATTCCAGAGCACTGAAGAAATTAGAGGTCAAGATTCCTAATTCAGAGGTCATTGCCTTCTTAAATATATCCGAAATTTCCGCCTTTTTTGGTGGCTCAAGTTGTTTTAGCGTTAGGTTGCAAAATAAATAGAATATCATTTTGTGGGGGTTGGAGAGATCTTTCTGTAAATTTTTGGCTGCCTAACCATTTCACATTATTTGTACTTTGTGAGTAAATACAGAGTCAGGAAGAAATGTTCCTGGGAACAGGAAGGAGACATATCTAAGCCCGAAATGAACTTAGTGACTTGGTGTTTTCCCTGCTAACAGGAGTCTTAGAACCCACCTGGGTTGTATCAGATAAATACAATTATTGCAGTTCAACTAGGTCATGTTTGTGCTCACACAAAGTCTGGATGTGGCAGAAGTAAATGACCGGACATTGTTAACAGAGCTGTAGTTTGCAAAACAGCAAAGTTTTTCAGACCTGAGAAAGGGAGTGAGTTCAGAGAAACATCAGTCTAACCAAAGTGTTTCTGCTGCTGCTGCAGAGGCCACTGTTAATTGGAATTGCTTATTACTTCGGTTACTTTCAATAGTGCTTTGGGGGATACTCTTGCCCTCATATTGTCTAAATCTGTCCCTGTCACTGGTGACTGGATAAACTAGGGCATTTTAACAGGCATCCTATTACCTGACAGTAGGCATCTTGTTTTCTGTATTAGAAGTAGACATGTCTCCCGGGATTTAACCTTCTGTTCAAAGCTTGAACCACTTTGGTAGGAAAAATGTGGTCCTCATAATGTTTTCCAGTCACCTGTGGCTTGCAAAGTACTTAATGCTTATTAACTCATTAATCCTCTTCATGAATCCAGTGAGGAAGGTAAATGTCAAGTTATGTTTTCCTCTTTCCAAGGGCGGTGAATTTGAAGCACAGACTGTCTGGGACATACCCATAGCAAATTGGGAGAAAGGGGCCTACCGTTTTTGAGATGTGCAAACCCAAAACGTAGCAGCTGAGTTTTAAAAAACTGTAACTTCAAAGTGGCTCTCCTCTCTAAAGTCATCAATTAGAAATCCTCAGTGGGCAGATCTGGCAGGAGGCATTGGCTGAAAAATGGAACTTTGAGAGCAATAACATCTGCTCAGCTGGGTGGGGAACAGATGCTTGTAGTGTCAAGATTGTGATGCATGGTCTTGGGATTTTTCCAAGTTCAACATGTTTGTCAGTCTTTTGAGGGCCCTATTTATCCATGGGGTAAGGATTTGTTTAACCAACTATTTCCTCCTAATCCTTGCAAAAACATGTATGAAGCACACAGCAGCAGATGAAACCATCATAGGAACTCTTTCAAAGGACCAGTCAATGGCTCCTGGAAAGTTCTGTCCTTCCCCATTCTAAATCTGAGTGGTAGAAAGGCATCCTACTTGAAGACTGGTATTAGATGCTTACTGCTAAAACTGGAATGTTAATTCCCACTTTTAATTAAAAGCCCTCATTTCTATTCCTTGGATCTATTGGTTAGGTGATTTCTTGGGTTCTGGCCAACCATAGAGGGGAGCTCTAATCTGCACACTTCTTAGAGAACCACGTTGCCGCCTTATCATTTTCCTAATGAAGAATGCATAGCCCAAGGACATGTAGATTGTTTATTCATCCATGTGTGCATTTATTCATTTAAGAAGTACTTTTTCATTTTTCACCATGTGACAACCATGTGCCAAGCTCCTGGGGGCACTGGTATGACAGGCTTATGAGGCGGGAGCAGGTGGGCCATTTAGCAGGAGGCCTCATATTCATAAAAGGCCTCACTTTAAGACTGTTGACATTGTTCCCAAGTGAACTTTTATTTTGGATGTAAATAGGGTCTTTTGCAAACTGTAAGCATTTAAAAATATGTGAGAGTTTTGGTAATCCTGCTTTGGCATTTCATAACATCATAACATGTCCACAGGTTTCAAAAGTGGAAGTGACCTGGGCTGGTTACTTCCTCTTGGAGTTTGTAGAAATGGCTCAGACACCCTCCTTGTGTCTCATTACTCTGTAGGAGATCAGACATCCTTCTCCCCAAGAAACAGTTTAGGTGGTACCCCAGGATAAGAGAACATCTGGAAGCAGCCATGGAATATAAATGTTAGACAGCTGGAAGAAGCCACAGAGAGCCTCCAGTGCTTATGTGTTAGTCAAGGGAACTGACCTGAAAGAGGTGCAGGGGGACATCCCTAAGACCTAAGCACAGTTTGTGGCACAGTGAGACTAGAATGGAGGATTTGTAATCTGAGGAGCTCTGCTGTTTCCTCCGTGGAAATGGCCCCTTGACAAAAGAATGACACTTATACTGTGCTTTACCTTGTTAAGTGGTCCTCTGCACCACTTCGTAGACATAGGCTGATTTCAGCTTCTTTCTGTTCCTTCCCTCCCTCCCTCCCTTCCTTCCTTCTTCCCTCCCTCCTTCCTCCCTTCTTTCCTCCCTCCCTCCCTTCCTTTCTTTCTTCCTTCCTCCTTTCGTTCTTTCTTTTCTTCTCCTTTCTTTGTCTACCCCCATTCTCATTGCTCTCTTCTTGTCTTTCTTTCTCTGTCTTTTAAATTGAGTGCATCCTGGTTTTATACTTACTGCCACTGTCTCTTTGCTATACTCCTCCATTGTTCCTACCAACAATAGAGGTTGGCCCACATCAAAAGCAGAAAGTTTGGTTTTCATCAGAACAATATTTGCATTGTGAGCTTTGATCTTGACTTCTCCTGCCTGGGGCCAGAGCAAGACTTCACCGCAACAGTGAACTCAAGTCCCTGTGTTCTCTCTGAAGCTAGGATCACCAGGATGTGGTTAGTGTGTGGCGGAATGAGTGTCACTGGGATTCAGAGCCTGCAATGAGTTTTTTTCAGTAAGTCCCAATTGTATGAGAAAGAGGGAGAGGAAAAAAACCCATACAAAGTGAGCAACTCCCTTCTCCCCTCAAAACACAAAGAAGACAAACTAGGCAAGATTGACTATTTTCCTGTTTCATCCTGTTCCTATACCTTGTCTTTGAGTTTTAGACAAGTATGTCATGACAAAAATTTTGTTTTCCCTGGAGTTTCAGAATTCTTTGAGCCGCCTCATGGATAGTACTCAATATGCCAAAGACTTCAAACTTAGGATGACAAGCCTGAACTTAACATTTTCCCCTAGAAACCCACTCTTCTGGCTGGGCACGGTGGCTCAAAGTAATCCCAGTACTTTGGGAGGCTGAGGCGGGTGGATCACTTGAGGTCAGGAGTTTGAGACCAGGCTGGCCAATATGGTGAAACTCCGTCTCTACTGAAAATACAAAAATTAGCCAGGTGTGGTGGTGTGTGCCTGTAGTTCCAGCTACTCAGGAGCTTGAGGCAGGAGAATGCCATGAACCCAGAGGCAGGCGTTGCAGTGAGCCAAGATCACACCACTGACTCTAGCCTGGGCAACAGAGCGAGATCCATCTCAAAAAGAAAGGAAGGAAGGAAGGGAGGAAGGGAGAGAAACCAAAGCAAACAAACAAAAAAACCTGCTCTTTTTCTTTGTTTTTTGTAATCTGCCACCAGGCTCCCAGGCTAGAAACCTTGGATTCATCTTACATTCCTCTCTCATTCACCACATTCTCTCAATTCTGCCACCTAAATGTAATTCTCTCAATTACTGCCTTCCCTCCACTGCATATGCCACACAGCTGCCAGGGAGATCTGCCTAAAATGCCAATCTGATTGTGCCATCCTCCTCCTTCAAAAGCTCTGTGCATTCCCCAGACTCAGAGTCACACATCTACAGTCTTAAGCAGGAGACAGCCACACGGCCCTGGCTGTAGCTTAACGAGATAGCCCTACTGTAACTCATGCTGCAGCCACACTGGATGCCTGATCACATCTTCATGCGGTGTGCTCGTGAATGCCTCTGCATCTTTGTGCCCGTTAATCACACCACCTGGAATATTCTTTCTCTTTCTTTCACAACTGATTCCATTTTGTTCTTTCTTCTAGATTCGTCTCAATGCTCTCCATATTTAGGTCTTCCAAGGCCTCTCAGGTAGTTGGTTGCTTCATCCTCCCATGTGGATTTGATTTACTGGAAGGAACATGGGCTTTGGAGTTCCACAAACAAAACTTAAGAACCTGTTCCACTCTGAATGTCATTGCTTCAACCATAACGTAGACACAGTGCCAACTCCAAAGAGCTACTGAGAGAATTAAACAAAGAAGAACTTGGTTTCCTATAAACATTAGTTTCCTTTCTATAGCAACTTTTACATAGAAAATTGCATAGTGGTTGAAAGACTATGGCCCTGAATCCAGAAGATGTGACTTTAAAGCCTAGCTCTGCCACGTGCTTATATGAGTGACCTTGAACGATTACATTTGCTTGAGCAAATTATTCTCCTTTCAATGTCCTTATCCCTATAATAATAGTACCTACTTCATAGGGTGCTTCAGAATATTAAAGAAGATAAATATAAGGTTATTATATTTGGCACATAATAATCACACAGTGGATTCTGGCAGTAATCATTTTTTCCCATACTTGCCCTTCTGTATCATAATTATTTGTTTATAGATTTTTCCCTGTGAACTTAAGGATTCCTAAAGGGACCAGATGGTGCCTTACTCATATTTGTATCCTCAGCTACTATCATGGAACACAGTGTAAGCATTTGGAAGTTATCTCTTTAAATGGATAAGGCCTGGCATGTTTCATCTGAAGTTTTACTTCTGGACTGTGGTCAGCAGCACAATCCAGAATTCTTCATGGGTACTGCCCCATGCTCACATCCATGCCAATTTCTCTTTATTTTTATTATTTATGTATTTATTTGTAATAGAGATGGGGTCTCACTATGTTGTCCAGGCTGGTCCCAAGCTCTGGGCTGAAGCAACCCTCCTACCTCAGATTTCCAAACTGCTGGGATTACAGGCATGAAGCATTGTGCCCAGCCTCAATCTGTCTTCAAAACCCACTTCAGAATAGGCTTCTCTAAGAAGACTGCCTCAGTATTACCCCAAGTTCATTCAGAACTCTCTTTTAAATCTCAGTTCCTGTTGCTTTACTGGTTTTTAAAAATTATTATTTCACACGTATGTCCTCAGTGGGCTCCTTTTTTTAGGTCTTAAATTATTTTATTCATTTATTTTTAATTATAATTTTGGAGCTGCATAGTTGGCATATAAGTTATTGGGGACTGGACTACCTCCTTTCTGTGATCTGTGAGTGATCTTGCCGCCACCAACAATAGCACATATGTTGTGGGGGCTTTTAATAAATGTTACCTGGGTCGGGTTGCCTCTCATGGTAGCATCTTTTTTCCCCACCTTCTTTTCTTTTTCTTCTCTGTTTTCTTCAAGGGCCCCTCCAGGCTTGAATGAATATTGTGATTGCTATTTTAGACTAGAGGAACTTCGATTCCTGCCCTGGACCCCAGAGGAGAAAATCTGTTCTCTCCTCTTTCCCATCTGGCAGGCATATACAATGTGGGATATTCCTCACCCTTCTCATTTCAGCTTAGTTGACTCCAGTGGTATTGGATGCCAGGAGACATTTATTCTCCTCTTTTGCTTGTTTATTTTACACACACACACACACACACACACACATACACACACACGGACATACAAATACATATTATAAGTATGCCCCTGGCCAAGCATGGTGGCTCACACCTGTAATCCTAGCACTTTTGGAGGCCAAGGTGGGTGGATCACTTGAGGTCAGGAGTTTGAGACTAGCCTGGCCAACATGGTGAAACCCCGTCTCTACTATAAATGCAAATAATTAGCTGGGTGTGGTGGTGTGAACCTATAATCCTAGCTACTCAGGAGGCTGAGGCGGGAGAATGGCTTGAACCAAGGAGTCAGAGGCTGCAGCGAGCTGAGATTACACTGCTGCACTCCAGCCTGGGTGACATAGTGAGATTCCATCTCAAAAAAAAAAAAAAGAAAGAAAAAATTATGTGACCCTAACACCATATGTGAGAGACAATCTAGAGGGTTCTGGACAGGACAGATATAAAACAGACACAGGCTGGGTGCAGTGGCTCACACTTGTAATCCCAGCACTTTGGGAGGCCAAGGCAGACGGATCACTTGAGGTCAGGAGTTCAAGACCAGCCTGGCCAACATGGTGAAACCCTGTCTCTACTAAAAATACAGAAATTAGCCAGGCATGGTGGTACATGCCTGTAAACCCAGTTACTTGGGAGGCTGAGGCAGAAGAATCACTTGAGCCTGGGTGGTAGAGGTTGTAGTGAGCCAAGAGTATGCCACTGCACTCCAGCCTGGGCAAGGGGAGTGAAACCCTGTCTCAAAAATAAATAAATAAATAAATAAATAAATAAATAAATAAATAAATAAATAAAATAAAACAGGTACAAAACATGTGTCGAAATATTGTTTCACAACAGAATTCTTAAGAGCAGTATATTTTAGATTTCAGTTAGTAAGGGTAAATTCTATTATAAAGATGCTCAGGGAGCTTGATGTAAATTAAAGCTCTCTGTTTGGGTTTAATTAAACAAAAATGAGGCATAGTTTTGTTTTGTTTTAAGCATGTTTTTCCATTGTCTTCAAGCCACACTTTCAAGCTGAAAATGATTCTTGATCAGGGAGAAGACAGAAACCAATTAAGGGCTTCTCCAATCCCAATGGAGGGACGACTAGAAAAAAGCTGCACACGTACTCCACTGCGTTTACACATTCTTAATGCATTTGTTTTCTTAGCAAAGAAATTTAAACACTTGTGATACAATGGAACAGAAATTTTTTATACATTTTCCCTAAATCTGTCTTTCTCTTTATATTTTCATATGGAAATAGAAATTTGTCAGGGGCATTTTTTTTTTCAGAATAATTATTTTTCCACTTTTCAGATGATAGAAATGATATAAACTGAAAGAGAACACACCACCTAGCATTTTCTTCAATTTTATAAATTTGGATCTTTTATCTCATTCTCTGGATCCAGAGATTCTAATTACTGTCTGGGTCCCTGGACCTTTCTCTTTTCCCAAAACCTTGTTCACCTCCCTCTGGGACAGAGCAGTTTCCCTTCCTGAGGATACTGAGCTGCTTGCTGGTTTTTTTTCTCTTCTGCCCACAAATCCAGTATTGTTGCATCTCTAAAGTCTCCTTGATCTCTTCCCACATAATAACTTATTTTACCTTTCCACTGAGTGACCAAACTCCTGGGTAAAAAATGACAATCCAGGAATTAGATGATTCAAAGTGACTCTTCTTGTTACAATTCTGCGATCATTATTTCATACCTCTACCTATTCCCTAGCATAATTAAAATGTCTGTAAACGGGTACCAGAAACAAACTGCATAAGAAAATAAGCACAGACCATTGAAATTACATGGTTCCATCATTAAAGGGCTGCACTTTTTTTTTTCTCTTAAGATTGAGTTTTGCTCTTGTTACCCAGGCTGGAGCGCAGTGGTGTAATCTTGGCTTACTGCAACCTCTGCTTCCCAGGTTCAAGTGATTCTCCTGCCTCAGCTTCCCGAGTAGCTGTGGTTACCGGCACCTGCCACCACACCCAGCTAATTTTTGTATTTTAGTAGAGATAGAATTTCATCAATGTTGGCCAGCCTGGTCTTGAACTCCTGACCTCAAGTGACCTGCCCACCCCGGCCTCCCAAAGTGCTGAGGTTACAGATGTGAGCCCCTGCACCTGGCCTAAAGATTTGTACTTTAAGATATACATCTTTCACAGCATATTTATATTCTCCTTTTTCATATTGGAGACTAAATTTTTGTAAGATGTGGTTTTCAGATAAGCACTTGAAATAAGGCAAAAAAAAAAAAAAAAAAAGGAAGAAGCCTTATTGCTGGACCTAGCTTATATCTTTTTTTTTTTTTTTTTTCGCTCTTGTTACCCAGGCTGGAGTGCAATGGCGCGATCTCGGCTCACTGCAACCTCCGCTTCCTCGGTTCAGGCAATTCTCCTGCCTCAGCCTCCTGAGTAGCTGGGATTACAGGCATGTGCAACCGTGCCCAGCTAATTGTTTTGTATTTTTAGTAGAGACGGGGTTTCACCATGTTGCCCAGTATGTTCTCGATCTTTTGACCTCGTGATCCACCCGCCTCGGCCTCCCAAAGTGCTGGGATTACAGGCTTGAGCCACCGCGCCTGGCCCCTAGCTTATATCTTAAAGAGAGAGGTGGATGTCGTCTGCAGGGAATGTGACCTCACTTTCTGCAAAGTGGATAGTGGTGATTTCTCTTGTTTCTTTGTATCAGTTCCTCCACCAGCATCTATATTTCTAGGGAGGAAAAGCCACCTGGCAATGTAGATCAACAAATAGGGGAAGGCATCAGTCATGACTACTGTAGAGTCAGATGTTGACGTAGCTATCAACATAAACTGGTAGGAAGAGATGCTTTTTTTCCTGATGGAAAAGACAGCTAGGATGCATAGAAATGTTTCCAGAAAACACAGTGGCTGCTTACAACCAACTCTCATTGGTTAGTAAGAGAAAAACTACGTGTAGTAGAACACTGAGGTAAGAGTTCAAGCCTGTTTTTGTTCTCGACCCTGTCCAACAGCAAATTTGTTTTGTCAGTTTGAATAAATCATATAATAATATTATGTATTAGACATATACTGAGCATTCTTTTGGCATTGTGTATATGATGATCATCTATTCTGTAGGAAACCATCCAAAGCTTCATAATTTAAAAAAATATATATTCTTTCTTACCATTCTGGGGATTGATGTGCATAGCTGAGCAGCTTTTTTGGGGGTACCTCTATATGGTTGCAGTTAAATTGTCAGGCATTGGAAGGCTCCACTCACATGACTGCAACACCTAGGCTAAGATGGCTGGATCAGCTGAGGATTCTTGGAGCAGCTCCCTCTGTATAGCCTCTCCATGTGGTTCACTTGGGTTTCCTCCAGCATGGTGATCTCAGACAATGGGACTTCTTACATGGCTGCTGGCACTCTGCAGAGTGAGCATCTAGGAGATAGGAAGTGAAAGCTACCAGTATCTGAAAGTCTGGCCCCAGAAACTGAGCAGCCTCATTTCTGCCATGTGCTCCACAAAGCAGTCTCAGCTCCTCCAGACTAAGGAAGAGGAGAAATTGACTCACTTGTCAGTGGGAGGAGTGTCAAAGTAGGTGCGGTCATCCTTACTTCCTTACTTAATACTCCTGGAAAAGGTTCTGACTGGGTTCCTCTTCTCCAGAAATCTGCTTAAAATAGATGTGTGTGTGTGTGTGTGTGTGTGTGTGTGTGTGTGTGTATGGAACTAGTGCCAAACGACAATCAAAATAATCAACTCTATTGCTGCTAAAACTGTCAAAAGCCACACTTGCTCCAGCTGAAATGGGGGCTTTTTACCCCTTTTGCCTGAATTTCAAATAGAAGGACCACAGGTCTAAACTGGCTGATTCACACAGTCAGATGCCTTATCTGGAGCTGAGTGAGAAGATTCCTGGCTGGACCTGCCAGGTGATGCAAACAGGTCTAGGTCCACAGGCCAAGAGGGAGGCTGGGAGTCTGTCAATCTTTTGAGGGACCCACTGGTAATGTGCTTCAGTCTGATTAGTAGCTTCTCCACCGGTGCTGAGGAGCCACTGAGATGGACCTGAATTTCCTTTCAGTCCTGCCCTTTCTTAAGAAGTAGAGCAAGTCTCTATCTCTTCTAAAAATGTGAGGAGGGCAGGAATGCTTCAGGCATTTTCTTCTTCCCCGTACCATCCAAAACTTCAGGATTGCAGACCATCTTTTGCAGAGAAGAAAACTAAGGCTTGGAATAGATTCACCAAGTTTCCAGAGTAACAAGCTGATAAGAAGTAGAGGCACATTCACAGGACATCATTCTTTCTCTCTTTCAACATCTCAAAAAATTGAACAAATATATGTGTGGCAAACCTTACTACCTCCCCAACACACTACTCCCAAGACCTACCCCTTCCCCCTACTTATTTCTCTCCATATCCCTTATTATATTGCCATCTTGCATAGTCTATGTGTTTGCTGTCTGCCCCTCCTCCCGCTATAATGGGATCAAATGTAAATTCTATCATTGAAACATATAGGAGATACCAATGTAGATTGTGTTATTTGCACACAGGATGTACCACTGTGTACCCAATAGTACTCAGTTAATACCTGCTGCCTTTAGAATGTCCCTTTGATGAAGCCCTGAGGATGTGGGCCGCCATGCATCAGTCACTGCTGGCTCTAGGGCACTGGCACTTGGCTGAAGTTCTAGTGCTGGTGTTGATTCACTGAGACCTAAGCACCATGAGGAAAATGCATTCCATAGGAGACTGCAATAAGATCATGTATCATGTACAGGTGGGATAAGTCTCTTTTCCAGGTAAGATGTTCCTGGGTTAGCTGCTGTTTTCTGTGACAATTTTCGTAGACAGAAACAATTGCCTGCATTTCCAGCAGTGCACTTAGAACCTCAAAAAAATTGGCTCTTTGGGCAGATCAACAAACCAATTGAATGCAGCTGCATTTTAAAAATCTGAGCCACCGAAAGGTATTGCTGCTTGGCTGGGTTGTGACCATCTTCCCTGAGGAATCCCTGCAGGATTTTTGTGGGGAGTAGAGAAGTGGCATCTCCCATTTCATCCACCAGAGTCATCGTTTAGGATTATCAAGAACGAGAAGGAGTTAGTCCCGGAATGTGCAGAAAGGTATCCATGGCAGTTACTAGTATATTAATAAAAATGCCGCTGTGCTGAAGAAACAACCGAGCATAGTAAAAGACTAGTACAGAAAGGACCTTTTATTCTGGCACTCTTGCAATGGCTTTATGTGTTTGATTGCATTTAAGGCTCAGAACAACCCTCTAAGGAACTATTATCTCCATGCCACAGATGAGAAGGCAGAAGAACAAAGAGGCTAAGTGATTTGCCCAAGGTCTCACAGTAATGAGTGGCAGAATCCAGATTTGAACCAAGACAGTCTGGCTGTAGAGCCTGTGTTCTAAATAGCTGTACCGCTAGATCCTTCAACTACCTTTTCGGCTTTTTGTTGTTAGTGTTTTCAAGGTCTAAAGAGTGTATAAGCAAGCCAACTAACTTGCAAGCTCTTTGTATTACTGAAATACATATGCTTAGCCAGACATGGTAGCACATACCTGTAATCCCAGTTACTCAGGAGGCTGAGGCAAGAGAATTTCTTGAACCTGGGAGGTGGAGGTTGCAGTGAGTCCAGATCGTGCCACTGCACACCAGCCTGGGTGATGAAGTGAGACTCTGTTTAAAAAAAAATTATACACACACACACACATATGTGTATGTGCATGGTGTGTGTATGAACACTTTGTATACACTGTGAACAATTATAAAGTACATTGGAGTGGCAGGGGGTTTAGAATTTTATTTCAGCTTCCCACCCAATGCAGGGGTCCTTAGAGAATCATCATTCAGCTTTGCTTGAACTTTAAGATCAGATGAATAAAAATACTAAGGGTCAACATACACGCTGATGCTAATAATTGCTGTAACTATGGAAACAAACTAGAATAAAGGACAAAACAAAAAGGTTCTTACGAGAGAATTTTAAAAAGCTGAAACTCACCATATACACATAAAGTAGTGACTAGGCTTGGGAACCTAAATAAATTAATAAAGGCTGGAAAATGGAGGACGGTAGGGGGAGAGAGTGTAAGCGCTAGATTTCTGGCCATCTGAAAAACGCAGTTAAATACTTTGTTTTGATTACATAAACATTTTTGTATTTGTGGAAAAACTCTGGGGTAATCACTCATCTAATTAGAAATAAGATGCCTGCCTTCTAAATGGGTATAGAATATAAAACATAGCCTATTTAGGAAAAGAAAATAGTGGAAGAGAAACAGTAAAAAAAAAAAAAGAACAATAGCAATGAACCCCAATGTGTAAGCTCCATGGCAAATGCATAGCTTTAAATTTTTCTATTAAAACATAAAATATACCAAAGTAGATTTAACAGCAATATGCAGTGATTTTCATTCATTACCCAATGAATGAAAATATTCTGGCCCATGATAGCACTGTACAGTATTTTGTTGTTAACATCTTCTCTAATTACTTAGGAAATACACTATGTCTTACTCAATTTAGTATTGCCAGTGTATAATTGCTATAGGATTGGCGTTCAGATATATGTTAAAGGATTTACTGAATTTTTTAAAAATGAGTGGATAACAATATGTGGAAAATGATATTTAGTGAAAAAATACTATACACAGGAGAGCGGGTGATTCTAAATGTATAATCGATAGTGAAGACATCATGAAATGGAAACTTCATGTGCCAAAGAGAATTGCAATAAACTACTTAGGGCAAAAACTGTTGGAAATACAAAGATCAATTGGTGCTAAGAGTGTAATCAATCATACCTGGATTTAAATTATGGCTCTGCTACTTAGGAGGTTGGCCAATTATTTATCCTTTCTGAATCTTATTTTCATAATCTACAAAAACGAGACTAGCTACATTGTGAGGATTAGAGTGAGGGAATATAGGTAAAAGTGAAGGAGGGAGAGATGTATCCTGTTCTCAGTGGTTATGCAGCATTTGGTCAATAAATATTCTGAAAGTAAGAACACTTTTCTTGTCATTTTCAGTTTTTTTAGTGCCAGTATAATGCCTTGTTATATTAAACATTCAAATGGCTGCTAAGTGTTGAATAATTTTAAAAAGAAGAGCGCCATAAACTCTGTTTCCTTGCTTAGTAACGAAAATCTAACTGTAATAGCTTTACAAATTAGGGACTTGTTTTCTTATTTAAAGCTCAGACATAGGTGATTCAGGTATGGCTCCATGAAGTTATGAGGGACTCAACCCCCTTCTTTCCTTCAATACAGCCAACCTTATCACTTTCTTTCCATGCTCCAGGTCACTGAATGGCTTCTGGAACTCTAGCTATCACGGCCACTGTGATGACTTGAATGTGCTCCTCAAAAAAAAAAAAAAAAAAAAAAAGTGTGTTTTGGAAACTTAATACCCAGTGCAGCAGTGTTGGGAGATGGGGACTAGTGGGAGGTATTTAGCTCACGAAGGCTTCACCCTCATGAATGCTTTAATGCCAATTACGAAAGGGGTCAAGGCTGTGCATTCCATTTCTTCCTCTCTTGCATGCATGCTTTTTTGCCGATCTGCCTCCCACCATAGGATGATGCAGCAAGAAGGCCCTCACCAGATGCCACCACCTTGATATTGGACTCCTCAGCCTCCAGAACCATGAGAAATAAGTATCCCTTCATAAAAGTCATCCAGCCTCTGATATACTGTTACAGATGCACAGAATGGACTCAGACAGCCACAGTCCAGGTTATAAGAAGAGGAAGGGCAACAGTCAAGGACATTTCTTCCACTTCACTTAGCTCTCTTCAGAAACTCTCCTGGAATCCCTACCCACAAATTCTACTTATCTCTTGTCCCATCCATTACTCCCTATAAAGAAAACAAAGAAATGTGAGTTTTGTTTGTTTGTTTGAGATGGAGTCTTGCTCTGTCCCCCAGGCTGGAGTGTAGTGGTACCATCTTGGCTCACTGCAACCTCGCCTCCCGGTTCAAATGATTCTCATGCCTCAGTCTCCCGAGTAGCTGGGACTACAGACACCTGCCACCATGCCCGGCTAACTTTTTGTATTTCTAGTAGAGACAGGGTTTCATCATGTTGGTCAGGCTGGTCTTGAACTCCTGACCTTAGGTGATCCACCTGCCTCAGCCTCCCAGAGTGTTAAGATTATAGGCGTGAGCCACTGCACCCGCCCATGAGTTTTTTTAAGCTGGAATCTTAGCCACCCCATATAAAATAGAGCTTCTAATGTTAGTGAAGAAAGGGAGAGTTGATATTAGGGAGGTAACAAAGAATCTGTCAGAATTATTGATGATTTTTTTTGATGGCAACTTCTTGCATCACTCATGAAATTCTACACTTATGTATTTAATAACTTGCTGTCTAGTAGGTTTACTTCAACTGAGCAGGGCCTGGGGTGGGGTCCTGAGTAACTGATGGAGCTTTCCTTTGTGAGTTTTATCTCTCTGATACATCTCTCTGAGAGATTGAATTTAGAGAGTAGGGCGATTGAAAATGGCCAGGGATTGCTGCAGGGTATTTATTAATTTAGTTGACTGATAAGCCATACATTAAAAAATCAACAGAGGCAAAAGAAGTACAACTGAAAAGTAATTTTTTCTTCACACTTGGCTCTCAGTTATTCAGCCCCTTTTTTGGAAGTAACCACTGTGACTAACCACTATTTAAATTTTGTGTGGACTTCTGGATAAGGTCATTGCATATAATGCATATGTGGGTATGTATTCTGGTTTATTTTTTAAGCAAACAAGACTGTATCAGACATACTTCTCTGCAAATGGAATATTTCACTTAAGAGTATTTCTTGGATATCTTTCCAGGTCATACTTGGGAAGCTGCCTCATTGTTTTTGACAGCTGGCTAGTATATCATTGCATGGATCTATCATTATTTATTCTCTTGATGAATTGTACATACCATAATTTATTTGGGTGAACACTTTGTAGAGTCCAATATTTTGCTGTTATAAGTAAGACTATAATGAATATTCTTGGAAATATGTCATTTTGTGTAATTGTAAAAGTACTCCAAGAATTAGAATTTATTCTGAGTCAAGAGGCATTTGACCTTATGACTTTGAGAACATTGCCAAATTACTCTCCACGAGTATCATAGCAGTTTTTATTCCACTAACAATGTACTGAGAATATATTTTTGCTCATTTCCTTGGAAGGCCAAGGCAGGAGAATCGTTTGAGCCCAGGAGTTCAAGACCAGCCTGGACAACATAGTAAGACCCCATTGCTATAAAACAAACAAATATTTTGGTGTTTGCTTATATAATAGGCAAAAAAAAAATGATACGTTGAGTATCATATTATAAATCTAAGAGCTAAAAAAATTTCTATTTATATTCTTTGCCTATTTTTCTCTTGGGTTGGTTAATTCTTATAGGTTTTCTTTATAGTTTAAGGAAATCAGCTTCTCATTAGTTGGAAATGTTTCTCATTTGGTTTTTACTTTGTTTATGGTATTTTTCATGCAAAATCTTTTTTAACTGTTATGTAGTCAAGTTTATTGACTTTTAAATGGCATTAAGATTTTACGTCATATGTAGAAACGTTAGGATCTCACATTAAGATTATTTTAATAGGTCAATTTTTCCTAGTTAGTTTTGTTTTTCCAAAGGGTAGCACAAAGACCAGTGTAACTACAAGCTACAAGGAAGCCAATTTCTGCTCCTCTTGGAAGAAAGAACATTTTAACAATTAGTCCAACACTGGAATCAACCCCTTATTTTAGTTTTCTTCAGGGTTTGGTAAGCTAACCATTTTTAAGAGCATTCCAGGAAGCCGGTATTATTTCTGCAGTCCTCTATCTCCTTTCCAAGAATAATTTACATTTAACCACAGGCATCATCACCAAGCAGTTCTTGGACAATAAGCACATATAGTAATGGGATATATAGGACTCATGATATCTATTAATAAATAGCAAAAGAAACTTAATGGAAATAATATAAATTGCTATAGAGGAAGAAGTTTGTGAGATAGTTCAGTATAGTGGTTAGACACTGAGCTTGAGAGTCAGAAAGGCTAGTTCAGATCCAGTTCTGTGCCTGGCTATGAACCTCTGAGCCTCAGTTTCCCCATCTTTAAAGCAGAGATAGTAATATTACCTCCTACATAGGATTCTCGACAGGCACTCTTAAAAGTCTAAAAGTTCTATGCATTTTTTAAAGTTTAAGTGTTCAATACATGTTAGTAATTTTGTTCTTACTCTATCTGGATACAATTCCATTGCCTAGCATTTTTTTCTTGCAGTAAGCATTCATTGAGTGCACACTATGTACTAAACACTATACTGGATTCTGGGGCATAAATAAGGTACTTGTTCCCCAAGACCATAGTCTTTGGTTTTACAGAGGTATGGAGGCAAGATACTAATAAAATTTACCTATTGGATCAATAAGGCCCCAAAGCACCATGCATTTGTGATCTAGAGTGTGAGTGGCACATATGGCAAAGTAACATGTTGGCAATGAGCCTATGAATGAATAGCAGCTGGATTGCAAAATCAAGGAGAAGCTTTCCCCCTACCCTCCAAACCCAACAATCCCCTTCTTTCATCAGGTCGTAAGAGATGACAGCACAGGGATCAGGTACTAATGCACAGCCTTTCATGGCCCAGGTCCTGCTTTTCATTCCGATTAGAGGATAAAGGAAACGGGTTTCCTGGCTGGTCTCATCCTGGTAAACATTTTGCCTGCTTTGCAGAACCGCCACCCTATTTAAGTGCAATTTGCTGGACCTGCAGTTGGTTGAAAACAGCAGGGCCTTTGTCAGTGAATAGAACTGTAGTGACAGGGAGGACATTTATAAAAATGCTGGTGTGTCTCATGCCCTGTGCCAGCTGGTGCTATTAGTGCTCTTTTATGTGCCTCTTGAAATACACTATAATAAATCTTTAAAGGAAAGCCAGGGCATAATGAGTAATCAAATTTAGTCCTCTGGAATTCATTGCAGTGGTGCCTCTAAATGTGGGTATTGCCCCACCAGAAGTGGAAAACTGAGAAGTTAAGAAAAACAGGTTGTTCTTGAAAATGTATCAGAGACATTTTTGGTAAAGAATTATATTGGCCCTCTTCCAGTGGCTTTATTTTTATTAAGAACTAGCAGTCCATGAGCTGAAATACACAGACTGCTGGAACCTGGCCTTGATGTGAATCCTGCATCTTAGTCTGTGTTACTGTTTTAATAAAAAAGAAACACTTCTATTAAAAGCTTCTAGGTGCTCCATCAATATCCTGTATCTATTGAATACTATAATTGTAGAGCTTGTACCATAGTGTAAGAAAATGTCTGGGAAGTGATGATTGAAAAAAGCAGTTTTCTTATAGCTGGCATCTACCTGATGACCACCCCATATGTATATGGTCTAGGTGTGAAGAGATTGCTCCAGTTAAAAATACTTGATACATTTGGGTAATAGACTGTGTTCCAAGTTTTTTTCTTTTTCAATTTTATGTGCCATAGAATAATTTAAAATGATAAAAAAAATAAAAGAACTGTGGTTGGCTATGTATGTCTACAGACCACCCATTATTCCCCCTTCCGGGTAAAGTCTAGATCAGTTTTTCCATTTGAGCCAGAGCTTCCTATTTGCAACTACAGAGATTGGTGTAAAATGCTTGGAGCTGCTAACATAGGAGCTGGTTAACTATGGCCTATAGGTCAATTTCAGTTTACCATCTCTTTTTTGTTTATTTGCCTAGAGGTTAGTCTGTGTTTATTGTCTGCTCTAACCGTAGGTGTCAGAGGCTAAAATTTCAGCTGGTGTTCTTGTTTTTTGTGGGTCCCTGTTGTCTTGGGTTTCCCTAGAGACTCCTTTATAAATAGAATCTGAGCTTTGCAGTTCTTTTCAGCTATAATCCTCTGTTATACTGAAATCCTATTGATCTGGTGCTGAAATGGAAGTGGTGGTAAAGGGGAAGCACTCAATAATTTTATGATTTGGTCTCAGTCTTTATTGATGCTCTATCATTATAGATTTCAGGACCTTTTAATTCCTTTCCTTGTTATAGTCTTTGCTCATTTTGCTTTTGGACTGCTTAACTTTTGCATATGTTCTTTATAGTTTCAGGAAATTAGCCCTTGTTAGTTGCAAATGTATTATCTATTTGTCTTTTGACTTTGTTTATGGTATTCTTTTCATGCAGAAAAAAAATTTAAATATTAAGAAATTTTACTATGTAAAATTCTTCACAAGGTCTTCAGGTTTTTTTTTTCCACCCCTTAATAAGTGAGACAGAAAGGCTAGAGGGGTCTGGAGTTGAGTATTTCCCTTCCCCCAGGTCGGCTGGGCTCTGTCTGATAAAATCCTACTAGGTTAGGCTCTGGTAAAATAGTTTCCCTTGAAGTTAGGTCTTGTTAAGGAGAACAGAACAGTCTGGGTGTATTTTAAAATGGTTGCCTTCTGGTTTTTGGAATTTTCAGCATTTTTGTGCAAAAAAAAAGGGGGGGGGGTTACTTTTCCCTTCCCCCTGCAGGAAGGATGAGGGGATTTTTCCTTGACCTTTAAGGTGCAAACCTGGTTAAGCTTCAGCAGGTAAAACTCACATAAATGTGCCTCCCCCACCCCCCAAAGGCTGGGTCTCCAGGAGTTTTTAATTTCTGAAGTTAGGCCAGGCTCAGTCTCCAGTAATTAGTCAGTTATCCTTTAATATGCCTACTCAATGTTGGCTCCAGTGAGATTTCTGCTCCTACTAAGCATAATTCTTTGTATCTACCCCTCTCTTCAGTTTTAGCAGTGGTGATTTGATCTGTGACCTCACTTCCCTGATAGACCTAAGAAGAATTGTTGATTTTCAGGTTTTGTTGGCTTGTTTCTTATTATGAGGACAGGAGAGACAAATACCAAGTTCTTTCTTTACAGAACCAGAAACCAAAGTCTGCCACTTGTTTTTGTACAGCTTGTGAGATAAGCTTTTTTCTTTTTCTTTTTCTTTTTTTTTTTTTTTTGCATTACCAAACGGTTAGAAAAAAATTTAAATAATTTTTTGTGACATGTAAAAATTATGTCAAATTCAAACTTCCATACTGTGCTCACAAATAAAATTCCATTGAAACATGGCCATTCTCATTTGTTTATGTAGTCTATGGCAGATTGAGTACTTGTGACAGAGACTGTATGACCAGCAAAACCTAAGTTATTTATCATCTGGTCATTTACAGAGATGGCTGCTTTTTAGTACACTCTGGACATAGGCCCTGGTTAAGTCTGAATCCCTTGACACTGTGCCTGAGTTGAAAATCAAATGAATGGGCACCTGTCAAGGGCTGGAGAAGATCTTCACATTTCAAGATGAGTGAAGACACAAGCCTTCTCTCAAGGAGACTCTAGGCTTGTGGGGAACACTAGAGGGCCAACCAAATAAGAATTTAACTGGAATGGGTTCAGAATGAAAGGCTAGGAAATTCATCCTGGGCCAGAGGGAGTCATTGGAGCTCATCCTATTTGTTAGAACAGGAAATTCTTAATGATAGGCCAAGGGCTGGGTCTTTTTGGGAGTGTCCAGACCAGTGGACACTGATGTATTGCACTTTCTAAGAACGGAGAAGTTTCAGCTCCAATCTTTCCAACAATTATGACTGCTGTGGCCACTTCCTTATTGCAATGCCACTTTCAACCACACATGCTGTTTTCATTGTGATTTTTTATTCTTCAGTTACCAACAAGTATACTAGTTTGAGGAAAGAGTGGACTCATGTATCAGAAAAGTATTCAAAGCAGACAATCAACCTAATTTCAGAAATAGCAACCAGTGAGAGTGTCCTAAACATTTATAAAGAGTAGAATGCTTGGACATTTCTGGATTGATATGAACTCTGCCAGTAGTGTTTGCCCACTTACATTGCCCTCTGAAGCCTCCTTGGCACATATATCCTATAATACACGTATGTTATTATCTCTGTATAGAATAACTTCAGAACTTTGTCTATGCCCTGGATGGAAATTCTTTTAGTCCTTGTTGTAATTTACAACAGCCGTAAGATGTCAGAAATACCTCCTTAGCTAAGTGGGCTGGGGCTGGGCAAGGTGTCTCATGCCTATAATCCTTGTACTTTGGGAGGCTGAGGCAGGAGGATTGCTTGAGCCCAGGAGTTCAAGACAAGCCTAGGAAGCATGACAAGACACCATCTCTATAAAGTCATAAATAAATAAATGGGTTGATGCTTAGAAGGATCCATGCTGGACTTATATGATAGCATGAATGCAGAAAGGAGATGTATAATATGGAGTTCCTTATTAATTAATCACAACTTCCTTGAGGTCCAGAATCCTTAGGAAAGTGAGATGATCACCCTTGGGCCCCTGTGTAGGCCACAG